ATATAGCTACCATGAAAATTCCTGTACGAGTCTTTCAACATACATGTTTTGCCTTTTCTTGGGTACCTAGGCATGGAATTGCTAGGTCATAGGGTAGTATGTATTTCACTTTTTAAGAAAGTCTCTTTTCTCTCTAGGTCTCACTCACCAATAGGATGGCCACCAGTTAATTCTCTGCATGTGATAGGAATTGCCGTGTCATGTTTTAGGATGAGCAAGAGGGGTGACTCTCCTGCCCTTTGTTAGCATGAGTCTACACATGCTAGAATGGGGAACGGCCTTACTAAAGTGGAGGCACATATATCACAGCAGTGAAATTCCTCCCAGTTCTTTTTTTTTTAATCTCTTCAAGAGGTGTCTTCTGGTTTTCTACTAGGAGTAAAATGCCTGTAGCACTTTTCTCCATGGGGATAAAGGAAGCAGGAGACAGGCTATGGAGAGCCTGTTGATACCATCATTTGGTAGACAGATATCCAATTAATCTGCTTCCCGTCCTCATTCCTCCTTCCACATTACTGTCTGACTGAGTCGGAAGACCCTGAAACTCCTTTTCCTTTGGCCATAGCTGCCTGTAGCTTCTGAGCTGCTGCTTCCTCCCTCTGGCTACCTATCTTCTAGAAATTTGTTGAACTCAAATCTGCTGATAGTCCTTCTCCCATTTTTTTCATTTTGCTAGGTTTATTTTATTGGGGTCTTGGTAGAAAAAAGAAAAATGTTTATCTTTGGTCTGCAGTCCTCACCTGGAAATTAGTGGGATCTGATACAGTGCAGCAATCTAGCACCAGATCCTACCACTGAAACTTCTACAGCCAAGCTCATCAATGCCCACTGCTGCTTCAACCAAGGCACACCTTTCCGTTTTCACTTACACTCTGTCATATCTGAAACTGCATGACCTCCCTCCTTCCTGAAATGCTTGCTTGATTTTCACAATATGGCTCTCTCTAGGTTTTCTGCCTTCTGGCCACTTCTTTCAGCCTCGTTTCCACACTTCTTCTTCTCTGCTCTTCACCTTCTCTCACTCTACACATTCTCCCTAGTTCTTGTGACCCAACGTACTCTTCTAAGCCCCGCACTTGCAGTGTTTAGACAGCTCCTGTCCTGAAAAGCCTTCCTTATGCTATGAGACTCAGACAGACACCCTAAGTGTCCTCACAGTACATGAGAGACTACTCTGGAATTTCTCACACTGCACCATATGGCCTGCTCACGGATCTGCTTCCTTCTCCAGCATTATGCTTTCTGAGAGCTCAGAACTGTGAGTTTCTCTTCCCCAGGAACTCTCCTAGCATACAGCTGGTGCTCGATAAGTATTTGCTGGATTTGATTGAGATCATGGATATGAAAAGGTGCTTTGTGTTTTATAAGTTATTAATGGTAATAAGAGTAAAAAATTTTCACTTTAAAGAAAAAATATGCCAGGTAAAGATAAACCTCAAGCTAATTAAAGAAAATCTAAAACTCTTAGTGCAATACAAATGAATGTCTGTTCAGAAACTAATGATACACTTCTTCCTATGAAAATGGCATGTTCTTCATTCCTTGGCACCTTTTTAGGGTGAAACCAATTTAGATTTCTCTCATCCAAAAAGTCTCACACTCAAGCTCACAGCAGCATTATACACAATAACCGAAGGTGAAAACAACTCTAGTATCCACTGACAGATGAATAGGTAAACAATATGGTATATGCATATATACATACAACAAAGTATCATCCAGCCTTTAAAAGGAAAGAAATTCTGACACACGCTACAACATGAATAAACCTTGATGATATTATACCAAGTGAAATGAGTCAGTTGCAAAATGATATTACACCAAGTGAAATAAGTCAGTTGCAAGAAAGACAAACACAGTATTATTTCATTTATATGAGGTATCCAGAGTCATCAAATTCATAGAAACAAAAAGGAGAATGGCAATTGCCAGGGGCTGATGAGAGGGAGAACAGGGTGTTGCTGATGAACACACTGAGAGCTTGTTTTCCAAGACGGAAAGAGTTCTGGAGCCAGATGGTAGTGTGGTAATAGCTGCACAGCCACGTGAACGTACACTTAACACCACTGAACCAAACACTTAAAACCTGTTATGATGATACATTTGTTATGTGTAGTTTACCACAATTAAAAATAAAAGGTCTCACACAAAATGCTGTATTTTACCAGAATGTTTTTGAAACAAAATTCTGACCTATGTCTAAAATACAAATAATCAAATGATAGAGAGAGTAAAGAGAGGTATGCCAAATACAGGAAGTACAATAAAGGAGCAAAAACAGAATTACAGAACGACAGCAATGACAATAGCTGACATTCACTGAAGCTTATTAGATGCCAGGTACTATGCTAAATACTTAAATGCTTTATTCAAAATGACTACAAGAGAAATGGGGGACTTAGAGAGATAAAGTCACTTAGCAAGGTCTCACAGCTCTAAAGTGGCAGAAATGAGATTCAAACCTAGGCGCTCTGTCTAAAGCCCACGCTCTGGCCACTATCTGCCTAGAGATTCTGGAATGAGAGGGCTGGGGAGAAGAAAGGAATATCTAAACTTTTCCTAAACATTCAAGTTTAACAGACAAATGAAAAATCAGTTATCTATGGAGTACCTTTTACATGCCAAGCACATATGGTATGTAAGAGGTTCAAATCCAATCCTGGATCTGAGGGAATCCACAGTCTATTGGGAGAGGCAGATGTGCATATAAATAACCGGGCAGTACATGCCAGGAGCTGCCTAAGAGATACCAACAGAGGGAAGAGGATGTTTAACACACAATGTCTCCTGCAAACTCTTATCATTCCTGGCAACACAAAGTGCTGAATAAATATTGACTACATGAAATAAAATCAGTCTACAAAAATATATTCTGTCTCAGAATGCATTTGGGGAAAAAAGGCAAAAGGTTCAACTTCACTTTCTTCTCAGAGAAAAGAAATTTAACAGGTTATGGCAATTATTGACATTTGAATCACAATAAAAAGGAAACTGACTTTTTGTTCAAATTACACTTTATTTTTAATTAACTAATTAATTAATTTTTTGAGACAGGGTCTCACTCTGTTGCCCAGGCTGGGGTGCAGTGGCCCAATCATGGCTCACTGTAGCCCTGACCTCCCAGGCTCAAGCACTTCTGCCTTAGCCTCCTCAGTAGCTGAGACTGCAGGCATGGGTCACCACACCTAGGTAATTTTTTTTTTTTTTTTTTTTTGCTTTTTGTAGAAATAGAGTCTCACTATGTTGCCCAGACTGGTATCAAACTCCTGGGCTCAAGCAATCCTTCCACCTCAGCCTCCCAAAGTCCTGGGATTACAGGCATGGACCACTGTCCCTGGCCTCAAATTACACTTTAAATAGTTATCATATGTTAAACTGTTACCATATTAAAGATTGTAAGAGGTGGATAATGATCATATGAAATTTAAACCACCATATAAAATTCATATTGCAACTGGAAGAGCTTCATTTTTCTAAACAGACTGAGAGATTAAGAAAACACACAGGACACTGGAAGGATCAACTTTGAAACCGCAGATTCAAGCAGTTTCTTTTGCATCTTCTGCTGCCTTTAGTTCTCTCTGCACTTAACATCTATCATCCTTCCCAGAGCATACCATAGAAATATTTGCCAATGTGCTAATGCCAAGAATTGGAGAGATGTCTCATTTCCAGGGGCTTAAAATAATAGCTACTTGCTGTGCTTACCTCAAAATCATATTGGCACCTTCTATAATAAGACACTAAGTTTTAATTTTTTTTATTCCACTATTAAAAACTTCTACGTGATTGTAGTCATATGCCACGTAATGATGTTCTAGTCAACAATGGACTGCATATACATTGTGGTCCCATAAGAGTTTAAGAGACCTAGTGACAGCACAGTGTCTTCACAGCACAAAGCATTACTCTCACCTGTTTGTGGTGATGCTGGTGTAAACAAACCTACTGCACTGCTGGTCCTACAGAAGTCTAGCACATACAATTATGTGCAGTATACAGTATCTGATCATGACAATAACTGTTACTGGTATCTACATTTACTATATCATATTTTTCATCATTTTTTAGACTCTATTCCTTTTTCCATATATATATATATATATATATAAATTTAACTGTAAAAGAGCCTCAGGCAGGTCCTTCAGGAGGTATTCTAGAAAGCCTATTATCAGAGAAGATGACAGCTCTATGCATGTTATTGCCTGTGAATACCTTCCAGTGGGACAAGATGTGGAGATGAAAATCCTGACCCTCTGTAGGCCTAGGTGAATGTATGCGTGCGTGCGTGTGTGTGTGTGTGTATCTTAGTTTTTAATAAAAAGTTTAAAAAGTAAATAATTAAAAAATATTAAAATATTAATTTTAAAATAGAAAAGAGCTTAGAGAATAGGGATATAAAGTAACAAAATATTTTCGTATAGCTACATAACGTGTTTATGTGTTTAAGCTAAGTGTTATTATAAAGTCAGTAAGTTAAAAAAAACTTATAAAGTAAAAAGGTTACAGTTTAAGTGAAGGTTAATTTAACAGATGAAAGATTTTAAAAATGAATTTATGTAGTCAAAGTGTACAGTGTTCACCAAGTCTACAGCAGTATACATGAATGTCTTAGGCCTTCACCTTCACTCACTACTCACTCACTGACTCACCCAGAATATTTCCAGTCCCGCAAGCTTCATTCATGGTAAGTGTCCTGGACAGGTGTACCAGTTAAAAAATCTTTTATACTGAATTTTTTATGTTACCTTTTCTATGTGGAGATACAAAAATACTTACCATTGGGTTTCAACTGCCTACAGTATTCAGTATAACATGCTATACAAGTTTATAGTCTAGGAGCCATAGGCTATACCATATCCTAGGTGTGGTGTAGGCTACATCATCTAGGTTTGTGTGAGTATACTCTATGATGTTTGCACAGCAAAGAAATTGCTTAACAATACATTTCTCGGAACCTATCCCTGGTGTTAAGCAACGCATGACTATATATACTATACCTTGTTCCAATATCAAGCCAGCTGCCATAATCCTTGACCAAGAAGAAAAAATGCTGTTAAAAAAAAAAAAAAAAGCTCCATTAAAAACAAAGCTTCTTAGAGTCAATCTAAAAGTTATTTTAGGATCATATGTTTCAGATTTCTAACTGAGAATCACTATCTGACTGGAATCAATAAGACTTATATGTCATTTACTGAAACTTTTACTTGGATTAGAATTAGCAATAGTCTAAAATCCAGAAATAGAATTACCATTCAATCAAATGAACAAAAAAGTGGCATTTCTGAATAACCAGAAATAAAGAAAAACAAGCCAACATCAATAAAAAACACTAGATAGTACTAAAGATGTCAGTGGAGCGAAGCCATGTCATCCATTGATCAACAAATATTTACTGCACTGACTACCTACTATGTGGCAATCGCTGTGTTAGGTGTTAGAGATAAACTCCTCCTCAGAAGGCGTGGGCTCTACTAAATTATTCAGTCAAATTATCGGGGGAGGGGTGTGCAGGAGGTGGGTGGAGAGAGTGTTACCACTGGAAAATATAGGCAATTATAGAAACAGAGGAAGGGTTTCCCAATTCCTGATTAGGATGAAAGAGAAGGCCTCCTACTGGAAGGTGAAATCTAAGTAAAAAGTAGGAGTCAGATGAATGGAGGTTTGGGGAGAAAGAAGTTTCTGGCAGAGGGAATAGCCTATATACACACCAAGAGTCCAGAGAGAACTTGGTAGCTTCAAAGTGAGAATGGCGTAGAGAAAACAAGGATGGAGAGGTGAGAGAAGATGCCAGTCAAGTGAGCAGAAGCTAGATCATCAATGGCTGTGCAAGCTAATTTATGCAATCTTTTTTATGTAAAATTAATCAGAATTTCAATCCTCATCTATTAACATGGCTGTTTGCCACTTTGTGTACAAAACTGAAAGCTGCTTTGTTCTCACATTATAAGTGCTCAGTTTCAGAAATACAATGATTGAATAACAGTTCAATACCACAAAAAAATACTCTCATCTAAACCGAGTGACTAGGAACCTGATTTAAAAAGCTACTCTTACTGGTTTTCCTAGTTACTTCTAGCATGGGATGTTATACAGTGACGAATTAACCTTACCCAACAAGAGCTCTGCTCTTGTTTCTCAGCTACTGGGAGGTGATTTCTAGGCCCTTGGAATGTCATGCCTCATAGAAGTGTTCTGCCTGAGGTCTTGGCCACTGGACAGTCTAACAATGTGATGTATGATGAGGGTTTTGAGCCATATTAACAGTTGCAACCCCAGAAGGGATTAAAGGTCAGCCAGGTAGGCAGTATGTGATCAAGCCCCAATAAAAAGTCAGGGCTTAGGTAAGCCTGGCTAGCAATACTCCAGGTGTACTGTCACACATCAAGAGTGGGAGGGTAGTGCTGTCCTGATTCCAAAGGGAGACACAGAAGCTCTGCATCTGGTGTCCTGGACTCTGTCCTATGCACTGGAATAAGCTGTAACTAACTATAATGGCATTCAGTGAGTTCTGTGAATTCTTCTAGTGAATTACTAAAGCTGAGAGTGGTCTTGGGAACACCCCAAACTTGCAGACATAAAATAGGCTTCTTTTTTTATTAAGACGAAAGGCCTACCTACATGCATTAGAGCTCTTTTATTGTAGCTATATCTTGCTTAACATCTTCCCAATAGAAAAGCTGTATTTCCTTTTTCCTTCCTTCCTTCCCTCCCCCTTTTCCTTTCATTTTTAATCTGAGAGAAGGGTTAAAAATCAACACTTAATAGAAAAATGATGTATTATCTAAATTGAAAGTTAAGTTTTCTCTATAAACTTCCTTTGGAAGGTTCATTTCAGACACAAAGCATCATAGAAGATGAGGTATGACAGACTTGAATAATCAAGTAGTAAGACTTTTGACACATATGCAGATATATACCACAGGTCAGACTGATCATATCTTACTAAAGTATAATTCCATTCAGACATATAATGACATACATCCAACATAATATAAAAAGAACATAAATTATGCCAGTACTTATAACTCAATATCTAAAGATTTCACATACAGAAATGCATTCATATTTCTCTTTATTAAATTAACCCAGCACTCTTAATTTATATGGACTACCCAGTAATGCCTTACCAAAGCCATAATGTCTGATATGACGAGAACAATGAGAAAAAGGCTGGAAAAAAAGAAGAAAAATTACATATAGTACAAAAGGTGCATTTTTCAATGAGAGGCTAAGCAAATAACCTAGTGTTATTGGAATTTTTGCTTCTGAAAATACAACTTTTAAGGGTTTTTTCACATTATCATGGGTGACCATGCACAGTGATGGCCTGGGCTGTAAAAAGTGTTATTAAGTGCTCTGAATATTTATTTCAGTAAAATGAAAGGGACATTACATTATGATTTGCTCTACTTTTCTTTTCTTTTTTTTTTTTTTTGAGACACAATCTCGCTTTGTTGTCCAGGCTGGAGTTCAATGGCATGAGCTTGGCTCACTGCAACCTCCGCCTAGTGGGTTCAAGCTGTTCTTCTGCCTCAGCTTCCCAAGTAGCTGGGATTACAGACACCTGCCACCACACCGTGTAATTTTTGTATTTTTAGTAGATGGGGTTTCACCATGCTGGCCAGGCTGGTCTTGATCTCCCAACCTCAGGCAATCCACCCACCTTGGCCTCCCAAAGTGCTGGGATTACAGGTGTGACCCACCACACCTGGCCTTCATTATGATTTTCAAAACTAAACTTTTGAGATAATTGTAGACTAATATGAAATTGCAAGAAATAGTACAGAGGGATCCTCTGTACCCTTTACCCAGTTCCTTCAGTGGGAAGATCTTGCAAAACCATGGTATAATATCCCAAGCAGGATATTGACACCGATACTGTCAAGATAAAAAACATTCCCACCATCACAAAGATCTCTCATGATACCTTTTTATAGCCACATATATACTCCCCTCACCATCCCTCTGCCTAATCCCTCACCCCCGAGAGCTACTAATCTGTTCTCCATTTCTATAATGTTGTCATTTTAAGAGTGGTTTATGCATAGAATCACTTATATAAGAAGTTGAACTATTTATATAACATTCTGTTACCTTTTGTAACCTTCTGGGATTGGCTTTTCCCACTCGGCATACTTTTCTCAAGAATCATCCAAGGTGCTGTGTGTATCAATGGGTCATTTACTTTTACGGCTGAATAGTACTCCATCATATGGATATACAATGGTTTACTTAACCACTCAAGCACCAAAGGACATCAAGGTTGTTTCTATTTATGGTTATTGTTCCAATTTCTGGCTATTACAAATAAAGCTGTTATAAATATTTGTGTCTAATTTTTTGTATAAATCTTTCATTTCTCTAGGAAAAATACATCAAGAGTACAATTGCTAGGTCATGTTTAGTTTCATAAGAAACGGTAAAACTCTTTTTCAGAATGGTTATACTACGTTACATTTCCATTAGCAATGCATGAGAACAATTTCTTTACACTCTCAACCCCATTTGGTGATGCCACTATTTTGTCTAACTGTTCTGATGGGTGTATGATGATATTTCATTGTGGTTTTAACATGCATTCCCTTAATGGCTAATAATGCCAGACAATTTTCATTGGCTTATTTGCCATCTGTGTATCTTCTTCAGGTGTTTTGCTCACTTTCTAATTAAATTATTTTTTATTGTTGAGTTTTGTGCATTCTTTATATATTCTAGATACTAGTCCTTTGTCAGATACCTGGTTTGTAAATATTTTCTCCCAGTATATAAGCTAAGTTCTCATCCTCTTAGCAGCGTCTTTTGCAGAGCAAACACTTTCAATTCTGAAGAACTCCAGTTTATCAACTTTTCCTTTATGGGTTACAATTTTGACATCAAGTCTAGCTCTTTACCTAACCCAAATCCCAAGGATTTGCTCTTTTTTTTCCCTACAAGTTTAAATCTGTGGTCCATTTTGAGTTAATTTTTGAATCAAGTGTGAGGTTTTGAATCAAGTGTGACTTGTTTTTGAGAAATAACTGTTTTTCTAACCATCGGTTTGAAATAAATGTAACTCAATAGTTCACATATGCAGATACATACCACAAGTTAGACTGATTATATCTTACTGAAGTATAATTCAATTCAGACACATAATAAAGTGGGTTAATCTAATGAAGAGTTTGTAGAGAAAGCAATGGTCATCGAGTACAACCTTTGACCTAAAGCATGAATTCCTAAAGTATCAATCCCTATAAAGGCATTGTCTAGCACTAGTTTTAGTGGTAGCAGCAATTGAATCCACTCCACTTTCAGCAGCTCCAATTACTGCAGAGTTCATTCTCCTGTGAATCAAAGCACAACAAATATTCTACCCTGTGGATCCAGTTCTTCTGGAATAGAAAAAGAATAAAAACCATTCAAAAGACATTTAGGCTGGGCACTGTGGCTCATGCCTGTAACCCCAGCACTTTGGGAAGTTGAGGTGGGCAGATCCCTTGAGGCCAAGAGTTCAAGACCAGACTGGCTAACATGGTGAAACTCCAGCTCTACCAAAAATAGAAAAATTACGCAGGCATGGTGACACGTTTCTGCAATCCCAGCTACTTGGGAGGCTGAGGCACGAGAATTGATTGAACCTGGGAGGTGGAGGTTACAATGAGGTGGCACCACTGCACTCCAGCCTGGGTTACAGAGTGAGACTCTGCCTCAAAAACAAACAAACAAACAAAAAAAAAAACTTTAGATATCTCCTTTTAACGTTTTGTTTGATTTTTTTAGAAATATTTTTATTTTTCTAAAGAAAATTATTTTACTGTGTGATACAGATGATGTTCTGGGATCCTTGTGAAGTAACACCTATCTGATTAAGTTACTTATTGTCTTCTCAGCCTCAGTTTCCTTATCTATAAAATGGGCATAATAGTATCTATATTTCCTAGTATCATTGGAAAAATTAAGTCAGGTAATTTATGGAGAGTACCTAATAGAGTGCCTGACATATAGTATTTGCCTAGTAATTATTGGTTTCATTCTCATTTCTTAAACAAAAACTTTAAATGAAATTAAAGATTTAATCCCTGCCTTTATGGAGTTCACAGGGTATGTATTAGTTAGCTACGGTTGCCATTTTAAAGTACGACAGATTGCGTGGTTTAAACAATATAAATTTCCTCATAGTTCTGGAGTCTGGAAGTCCAAGATCAGTGTGTTAGCAGGGTTGGTTTCATTTGAGGTCTCTTTCTGTAGCTTGTAAATGGCCATTTTCTCCCTTTATGTTCACATGTTGTGTCTTCTGTGTTTAACTGTGTCTTAACCTTTTCCCCTTACAAAGACGTGAGTCATATTGGATTAGGGCCCACCCATAAAACCTCATTTTACCTTAGTTACCTATTTAAAGGCTCTATCTCCAAATTTAATCCTATTCTGAGGTACTTGGTGGTCAGGACTTCAACATAAGAATTTTAGGGGACAAAAATCAGCCTCTAACTAGGTGTGAAACAGAAAAGTAAGGCAATTTTATCACCCTCAGCCTGAGTTACCTAACTTAGCCAGATATATGAGGTTGGAAGGATTCTGGAGAGTAGAGCAGTTGGGTAAAAAATGTTTAACAGAGAATACAATCCCTGAACTAAGTCTTAATTAAAAAGAAAAAAAAAAGCTTTTACAAGGCAAATCTTTATATTCTTGACCCATTCTGTGGAAACCGAAGAACCCAGAAGTAAGCTGCTCAAGGTCACATAGCTAGTAATAGTAAGTCATAGACTTCTAACAGCAAGTCTGGCCCCAGAGCCTGTGCTCCTACCCATTACCTATGCTGCCTCCCCACGGCCCTACTGATTCTCAGAGGCCTTCAGCGTCTTCATCATATTCCTTTGAATGTGTCTGTGGTTCCTTGTTTATGCATATGTTATTTAAATGAGAAGGCATAAATGTAACAAACTATTCAATATTTATGGTGATCTAATATTAAAAAGGATAGGGTTATCATTCCCTTGCTCTGAATACAATACTTTCATTAAATGCAGGTTAGTTATATGGTATTATTTGATCTCCAAGATGTTTTGAAGCTACTGTGTACCTAGATCCTATGAGTTTCCTCATAAATACATTTTTATTCAAGAAATAAATACCTGCTAGTGAGTTTTTATCCAATTGATAATAAATATTACTTATCATCCCCACTGAGCCACTGTGACTGCTCACTTGCAAGACCCCTAACTGATCTCCCTGCTCTTATTCTTGTCCTCCTAAAATTATTATCCATGTAGCAGACAGAACAGCCTTCAAAACCTACCAAAGGCTTCTTGCCACAACTGAATAATTCTGAAGTCCTATCTGTGGCCTAAATGGCCCCTTATGTTCTGCCCCTGCCAACCTCAACTTAATTTCCTAAAATTCTTTTGCTAGCACTCTCTGCTTAATGCTATCTTTCTTGCTGTTCTACAAATACACTAAGCCCTTTGTATGTGTCATGCCCTTTGTATGTTTCACTCCCTCCACCTGAGTGAACCATGAAACTATGTGAGTAAAGACCATATTCAGGTCTTTGCTTAAATCACTTCTCCTTAGAGAGGTCTCCCTGGATCACTTCATGGTTACCCCTGACATTTAACATTACTTGAAATTTTACTGTTATTACAAGCATTTTATTTTCTTTGTCTCCCCAGGGAGACAGTAAGCTCTGTTCACCAATGTATCACCAGTGGCTGGTACACTGCCCAGTATATGATACAAACTCAAATCCTATGTGCTGAATGAATGGTAGCAATAATCAGCATAAAACTGAAAATGGCTAACACTACGCATTACAAAATTTGCTTTAGATATAAGACTGACTAAAGAACCATTTCCATTTGATTTCATAGAACACAAAAAATTTGATGCAGGAAAAATTAGACCTGGTAGAAACAACACCAAATAACATTATAGAAGGCTAAACCCACACAGATAACATCTGTAACTAACAAAATAATGACAGAAGTTGCAAATCTTGACAACTACCAGATCTATAATATCTGATCTAGGTGAATGAGACCTGGTAGATATGATAACTATAGAAGAAAAAAAAAAACACTGGTAGGAGCTGAAATCCAGACTTTAAGAGAAACAAAAATAACCCAAAATTTCCTTTTGAAAGTAAAAATAATTTTAATAAATTTAAAACCAAAATAGAAATACTTAGAAATAATTTACTTCTACTTCATATAAAATTAATTTTAACATTAAGCTGATTTAATAAGATTATCCACTGGAAAATACTTTCCCAATAAAAGTTATTCAGTATTATAACAATTCTGATTCAAGTCTGGATTTCTAAATATACAAGCATAACATTATGGAGATAAATAAAAACACCCATCAGAACAAAATGGTATATTCAAAATTAGAGTCAAATATATTCAATTAATACAGGGCACAAGAAAACTAGTTTTTTGGCTGCTAGATCACATTGTTGACAACTGATATTTCCAAGTTGTTTTTTTTCCCCCAATCCCTGCTGTGTAGCCATGGCTCTTATACAGTTGAGTATTTAATCAAACACAGAACTGAAAAATCATCCCTTTTGATCTTATATGGTTGGTTGTTGAATACTTCTGTAATCCTAAAACTTGTTTCTCTTTCTCAGCAGCCTTCTAAAATTCTCTCATGCTCTGTTGCATTCTGAAGGTGACAAAGGTCTTCATGGTCCATGTCAACTCAAGCTGTGAAATGAACTGGCCACAGTTGTGACACTTTTGGCAGGTTGTTTCACACCCCCACACCTCTCTTTTCCCTAACCGCCTTCCAGTTTAGAATGAATGTGTGCAAGACAGAGTTCTGGCCATAGAGACACAGTCAGAAATCGGCATAGACAGGGCATTTGGGGAAGACACAACTACCCTGACAGAAAAGGAGAATCAGCTGACACATCTCCTTGCCTTTCTCCTCATTAGTCCTTTTCCCTTGTTCCTATCTGGATGGCAGATGAGATATGATGGCAGATGGAGGCGTGATGAGAAAAACATGAGGGTAAAAGCAACAATGTAAAAATCTTCCATTCTTAGGAATGCAGAAAAGCAGGGTGGCTGATGGCATCACAGAACTGCAGGCCACCAACCTCCAGATTCCATGCTACACGAGAACATAAATCTCTATTTCTCTTAGCTATTGTTAGATTTTCATTGCTTACATCCATAAGCATTCTTAACAGATAAACTATCAGGTAATCTTCATGCACAGCTACTACCTTTTTGTGGTCTCTACCCAAAATTTACAAAGCTTTGTTGATGAACCTAATTATCAAGTCTGAGACACTAGATAAATTATTAATAATTAGAAAAGTAAATTTTAAGTCATGTAAAATAAAACAATGCTAATACACCTTTTCTGCTTCACCTTTGTTGAATATACATTTTAAGGAGTGAGTTGGAAGAGAAGCAAAATCATTTCACTGGTTTGTTATATTGAACTTATCCTTGCCATTATAGATCTAATAAATAAGTCATTAGTATATATCTCCAGCCCCATCTTAACCTGTAGGCTTCCAACGGTTGTAAGAAAATGCTTAGCAACATAAATAATGAGACTGTAAAAATGTGAACAGAAAGGAAAGATGATATCAGTGATATCTGGTGCTGCTATGGCAGTGAGGGTGGAGAGACTTCAGTTTGTGTAACGAATTAAATAAAGAAAACAGGATGAGATGCTAGTTTTCAATAGGAAGAAAAGCCATCGCCGGGTTCAATGTGTGACATTAAATTGGATGAGTCAGTGATATCCAGGAAGAATTGTTAGTGATTTCTGAGTTTAAAGGTCAAAAGAAAACTTTCTAAGCCACCTTTGCCTCAGTTCTTTCCTGCTGTGTCTTGTTTTTCATTGCACTAGTTTCCAGATAGCATTACTACACACACACAAATATAAGTATACATATGCACATACACTTTGATGAGCCTTCTATTAATCATTCAACATATCCCCAGCTCTTATTTAAACTTTAATTAAAATCCCTTCTAAAAATCTTATCCACTAACAAAGATGCAGGAAAATACATGTCATTCACCAGTTTTTATTGCATCTAAGTAACTATCTCTTACGTAATATTGACAAGGCATAAATGCTTTCAATATTAAATTCATGTAAATATCTTGTAAAAATATACTAAAACTAGAAATGAGATTTCTAGTATTTTTAAGCAGTGGAAGAAAAACGTTTTTCTTTATGGCACATGCATAATACTAAGCTAAACCCAGTTCTGGCTTATATTCACCAAGAACAACATGCAAATTTATGCTAATATTAGTTATTTCTTTCAACACTGAATATGCCAGCTTGATTCAAGAATAACAAAACTGCTAAGCTTCATGTTTATATCAAGTATTTTCCAGAGTCCCTGTGCTGATGAGGCAATTTTATTGGTTAAAAAAAGAAAATAGTTGAGTTGACAGCTTTTATTCCACAGTCTTGATTGCTTAAGACGGACTGCTCCAGAAATTCCTTAAAACTCAGAAAGAATACTTCCCACTCCATTAGTCAAATGTGTAGAAATCATGACTGAGAAACTGAGTATATTTTTGACATTTAGAAAAGTTAATTTTAAGTTATCAAAAATGAAATAATGTTAACAGATGTATCTAATAACATTTCAGAAATAAACCAAAGTAAAAGTTAGAGTATATTTTGTTTTTTGTAGGCACAGCTATAATAAACAAGTAATTAACTACAATAATTTAACATTTATGTTTTACTGTTTTCTAGGGAGGTTCTTCACTAGCTTGAATAATATTCTAATAACATTTTATTGCTGAGAAAGCAAGCCTGTCTGCTAGAGGCCCTAATCAACTAATTTCCTCTAATGATAACCAACACTGACTAAAAGGGTGAAAATTTTCTCATTTTTGTAATAAATAATCTATGTTACAGCATCTTAATAGCAATCATATGAAATATCTTCAAGTGTTTAGTCTCCTAAAAATTGGCAAATCAAATGTTTATTAAACCAATTCATCTTACCTTTTTGACGATAACTGAGTAGTCAATTGAACTGCTTCGAAAGCACACATAACAAGAACAAAGGGGATTAAAATCTGTTTAAAAGAACAACAAATGATGCCATAATTAACTGAAGCATTTGAAACACTTTTTCAATACAGAAATATTTTCAATTTCTCAAGTAACTTTTATATATCCTAGAGTAAAGCAAACACTGAAATAAAAGCATGATACCAATGAAACATAGTACAGTGATGAAACTGACTTAAAAACCTACATTAATAAGCAATACAATGTAAAAGACAGCAAACATCAATACATATTCCAAATAAAAGCCTACTACAAATTTTGTTCCATGTAATGCATTCTAATAATTAACAACAATGTTCAAAAGATTCCAAGAGAGTGTGAAAAGCACAGAATGCCCAAATCAAATAAATTATATAACTTGATAATTTGATTCACAAATCCTTGAACCCATCTGGTTATTTAAAACTATAACATTATAAACATGATTCAGCTTCTTAATCATTGCTTGTTATTTTTTAATACAAATTTATTTATGATTATAAAACTCACACTCATTATAACAAATTTGAAAAAATATATAAAAAATTGCAAATAAAGGTATAGTAAAATTTATGCTAGTTGAAAATCCATAATCTAGAGCTAATACTGTTAGTATCTTGAGGTATTGCTTTTCAATGATCAATTTGAAAAAATATATATAACTTGATGTTTCAAAAAAGGGAGAGGTATGAAAAATAAATGATGTTCAAGACTGCATCAAGTTAATTTTCGAGTGAAGGACATATGAATAAAATAGAATTCAGCAGGGCCCTCACTTCCAGACACATCAGTCAACAAAAGTCATGAAGTGTATTATGTCATTAAAGCTTACTACATTGTGCTGCAGATTAAGAACCTAGCATTCTAATTTGAGCTTGCTTACTTTCTTTCTCTTTCTCTTTCTTTCTCTTTCTTTCCTTCCTTCCTTCCGTCTTTCTTTCTTCATTCTTTCTCCTCTCTCTCCCTCTCCCTCTCTCTCTCCTTTCTTTTCCTTCCTTCCTTTCTTCCTTCCTTCCTTCTTTCTTTCATTTTTAATTAAAGGCCCATGGTCTTTAATAAACTGAGAAAAAAACAATCACTATTTTAAAACTGTAAATGAAAATTAAGGAAATATCAAAATGTTTCAAAATAAATCAATAGAGAACAGGACATGAGAAAATGGACATCTTTTTTTAAAAAAAACATATCTGAAACTTCCATTTGTATTAGCATAGTAACAAAAAGTAGACATTAATTCTATTAAGATGACACATATCTTTATTATTATTTATGAATCTGAACATTAGGTAATTGAATTTTAGGGAAGTATCAGCTTACTTTATTTAAACAAATATATACTAAGTGAAATGTGTCAGGCATTATGGTAAAAAGAATAAAACAAACATAATGACCTTTGAGAAATGGAACATGAATTACATTCTAATGAAGAATGTGAACCCCTGGAAAGCTGAGAATTGTCAGTATATTTGTATTGGCAGCACCCAGATAGTATCTGTACTAAATGTAGCACAAAATGACACATTTGTTGAATCAGTCAATCAATTTTAGGTACATGGATTATGAGAAAGATTACGTTGGTAATCTCATGGGGAGAGAACATGGGTTCAGGGAACCTTATAATCTTTAGCGGCACTGCAGCGTGATCCATGGCTTCCTAAAAGGCTTTAATCACATCTGATAAGATCCTCCTAAATTAACATGGAATTCCCACTCTTTTGAAGTCAAATAGACTTATGAGTAAAGCAAAAAGATTAACTGTGGTTTGGAGTAAGGGATAGTTCTTACCTCAAGTTTAGCAGTGCCAACTCTGAAAGGGTATCTTCTCTCCACTGCTATTTAACTCTGTCTAAATGACTCTATAACCTTAATGTCACAATGAGTTGAGAATCTTAATCAATCAATAGCTTAATACAAATAACAAAATAAGAAAACGAACCTTCCACATCATCAGGGATCCCATCATGAAAGGACTGAACACAGTCAGAAAACAATAGACAGAGGCAAGATCAAAGCTGGGGAATTATAACAAGAAAAAAGGATTTAGAATTCACTCTGTAACTTTATAAGAATGTTCTTTTAAAAAGGATGTTTAACTAATTCTCTGAAATCTACTTACTAAAACACAAGCAAACATAGTATTATGAAGCCACTAAAATGAACACAGTAGATCTGAACGTGCCAATCTCCAAAATACATCATTCAGTATAAAAAGTAAGGTACAGAAAAAAAGGTATAGAAGTCCCAGATTGCATCATTTTTTGGTTATATATATGTCACTTTCATTTAAAATTACCTGTTAATAGAAGCTATATTTCCGGTTCCAAAAAATGCTGTCACTAAGAAGAAAACCTAAAGGGAGTCAAGGAAATGGCAAAACTACTCAGATTTCACACAAATTTCCTTTTCATTTAGAAAAGATACGCTAATTTTACCTTGAGAGTAATTTGCTTTTTTACTTGTACATTGACCGCAAATTGTTTTCAATGAACATTCCATTATATCTCCTTGTGAATGCATTTTGAAACAACCAGATTGAAGAGGCAGTGTACTGAGAATAAGGCCTGAGAGGTCATCCTCACTCAGTCCCTAGTAACCTTAGGAAGGTTATTTTCCTCTTCCCTAACATGAGCAAGGTGGACCACATCTGTAGTTGGCTGCTAATGACTTTTTTCAAAAGAAAAATGTGGATCTAGTGTATGTCATAGACATTTTCAGCTGAAAGACATGGTTATAGTCTATGTATGCTTGCTGTATGCCCACCACATGTTAAACACATGCTAGACTGCTTGAAAGGCTCAGAAAGAAACAACATACCATGTTTTAAAACAATTCAATATAGAATGACACATGAGGAAATGGTGAACATCTTTTTGACATTTCTTAAACTTACATTTGTATTAGTAAAGCAATAAAACATTGATATTAATCTTAGTGTCCAAGAATTTACTGCTACTAAAGCTCTTAAAATGGTGCCTGGCCCACTGAAAGGGCTTGATAAGTGTAAGCTATTTTATTACTATAGACACACACAAAAAAATGGTGAAGCAACACTGAAGAGGAAGTATGAATCATGACAATTTTCAGTGAAAAAGAGGCATTTAAGTTGGTGAGTTGAGCCTTAAATGTATTCATGGATTCAGTGATTCAACCAATCATCTAACCAACCAAAGTTTATTGTCTAGTATATGTCAGAGACAGAGATAGGCACTAAGAATATAAATATAAATATAAATAAAATAGTCTCAAAATACTCAAATGGTGACTAAGATATGATGACAGAAATAGAGGAGAGACATTTTAAGGTAAAGAACAGTGAGAAAAAAAAAATGACATCACCAAGAAAAAGTAAAAAGCCTTGACAGATAGGAGGTTAGATTTTATTGAAGGATATGGTGAAAGACAAAGCAAGAAATACAGACTGCTGGCATATGAATACAAAGCCTGAACTTCACTGTGCACACGGTGAACAGTAGCAAAGCTTTTAGGCTGGTGTTATAATCCAGAAACACCAGTGATTGTATGATATTCAGATAAGGGAGACAAATAATTGGAGGCAGAAAATTGAAGTTGAAAGCGATTTTAGTAGTCCATGTTAGAGATAAGGCAGTGTTAACTGATGCAGGGGAAATGAAAATCAAGAGTGAAGGGAGACACAGGGACTTTAGAAGTGGACAAGGAGCAGTTAAATATGACAAGTTGGATGTCTTGGGGACTGGGAGTATGGTGATGCCAGAGGAGTGGCAGTTGTCAGTTTGGGACACATATTTGGTGATGCCCAGCAGAATGTCAGACATGTGGTCCTTGAGGTCAGGAGAGAGGTCAAGTTTGGAAAAACACATCTTAGAGTTGTTTGCACAGAAGTGTTTACCAAAGTTACTAGAAAATATGGCATAAACCAGGCACAATAAGAGAAGGTTAATGGTGGAGAATGGAGAAAAAAATATAGCTGAAGATCAGGCAAAGGAAGTAGTTTTAGAGAAGAAGAATAGAAATGATATAAAAAGCTTAGAAGAAAACGTGTACTGTGTCCTGGACGTGAAGGGAAAAGAAAGAGAAAACATAGAGTTGAATGTTAAAGTGTGGCCGGTAAATGAAAAAGATTGAAGTGATCAGGAAGCCCCTGCAGACCAATGACAGTACGACTTCGGCAGAGACATCTGACAAATATTGATAGAGCACTACTATGTGCCACATGTTGTTAGAGGCTTGTGGATATAATATACATATGGAGAGAAAACAATGGCAGCAACTATACATTTTTCTTTCAAAAACTTAAACAGAAAGGATAAGATGAAATTTTAATTTAGGGAAATGCAAGGTTCAATGGGTAAAGTGTTTTATTAGTATTAGCTGATACAAAGGAATTTATAAAGAGAGAAAGAAAGCAAAACAGAGGGAAAGCGAGAGACAGAGAGGAAGGAATATTTATTTTCTGTACCTGAGAGGTCTAGACTCTGTACCATGGTGGCTCAAAGAAATTACCACCAATATTTAACAAGCCATATAATTGATAAGGGGTTAATATCCAAAACATATGAGGAACTCCTACAGCTGGCAAAAGTAAAATAGTCAAACTTAGAGAGTAGAATGAAGGTTTCCAGGGACTGACTGGAGGAGGGAAAAGGGGAGATGTTGGTGAAAAGATGAAGTTTTAGTTATGCAAGATGAGTAAGGTCTGGAGGTGAAATGTATAGCATGGTGACTATAGTCAGTATATTGTATTGTATACTTGAAATGTGCTAAGAGAATTGATCTTAAGTGTTCTCACTGCTAAAACAGAAACAAAAAAAAACAGTAAGTATGTGAGGCAATAGATATGATAATTAGCTTAATTGTGATTATTTTACAATGTGTGTGTATATATATATCTCAAAACATCAAAATATATACCTTAAATATATACAATTTTTTGTCAATTATACCTCAATGAAGCTGAATAAAATAAAATAAAGGAAATATATCCCTATGATTTCTTCCAGCTAGTCAGTCAGCCTTTCCAAACTAAGATTCTGTCATCTTTCAAACTTATACTACCAACAACTTTCACAACATTGCTTCTGAGGTGATTCAAAAACCTTTGTGAGACAGATGTTATGTAACATGAGTTTAGAAAAAAATGCACTTAAAAAGATATGAACTCATAATAGTGGTTTCTTTCAGATGAGAGAAATTAAATTCAGGAGTTGAAAGACTTTAGCTTTAGCTCTAATGTTTTAATTTCTTAAAAACACATTTTTAAAAAACATGACAAAATACTCATGGTTAATATCTTGAATAGCAGGACTATATATATATACATATATATATCATTCTTTATACTTCTCTATAGTTAAAAAAATGTTTTTAATGTGAATTATGTGAGAAAACTATAGTTGAGAGAGGTTAAACTATGTAATACCACTATTAAGTGATGGGCAGAAACATCTTCCATGTCTTCTTACTCCATTAAGCGGGAGTCGCAGATCTTCAAACCAAAGCCTCAACAAAGGATACAAGGAAAAAGGCCCTACGGATGTCATCCAGACACAGCTGTCGAAACTGAGTTATGTCAGTATTGTAAGAGAACTGGATACTAGTAAGCTATGAGGTAATAAGAAAAATATTAATGCACAGTAATAGTTGGCTTATTTCTATATTTGAAGGCAAACTTACAATGGCTAGAAACATGCCCTGTGCTAACAACAACAAAAAAATCAACAATAAATCTTTCTCTAGGGCTTAATCTGCCAAAAGATAAAATACGTTGCTAATAATATACAGAACACAGCTGTAGTATTGCTATATGTGTAATAAAAGTGAGAATTGAGCTTTTTCTTTTCTTATATAAATGCTTCATTTTAAAAACCCTATATAATTCTTCTCTTTTCAAAGACTAATTTCTCTGAGTGCCCTGATCGTCTTAAACCAAGATATAGTATCTTGGTTTAAGATTAAAATTAAATATTTATTTGTCCAAAATTAAAAATTTATTTGTCCAAAAATTATGTATCTGTCCCTCCATTAATTCTATTTGCAGAGGGTTTTTTTTTTCTTTTAATAAAAAAGCAACATGTTCCTGTCTTTAGTAGAACAGAAAGTCACTCAATCCAACAAGGTGAGTGCATTCATGCTTAATCTCCCTCCCAAAATAGAACGCTAATGGGTGAGTTTAAAGGTGGACTTTCCCCACTCCTACTCCCCATGTAATTTTCTAGTAAGTTCTTGGGATGTTTTAAGACTCTTTCTAGAAAGAGATACATTTGCTTTTAATTAAACACATAGAATTTAAAAAGTAACACAATAATCCTCAGCCTGATGACATTTAATATTAAGGCTAATCTGAGTATTTATATGAATCTGCTCAAAACTGCTTTTCTAGTATTAATTTAATATTCAAAAACTAAAAGTTTAAAACCAGTAATTATTAAATATGCCTCAATAAAGTTTCTTCTTTATTGAAATTAATCATTCTGAATTAACAATTATAATCTACAAACTCAACTGGAACTAGATAAGGATGGATCAACTATGAAGGTATTTTCTGTAATATTCATTTTATCTAAACTTGGTAAAAGTGTAAATATTCTATCACCAATTTCTCAGAATCATCATCAGTCTAAATAAGACAAGAAACATCAATTTTCTCTGTAGCCCATCATGATAAAGGTATCCTTAAAAACTGGTTGGATTTTAGCCAATTCAAAGTATTATGTGTTGCATAAACAGTCTAAGATTTGGACTGAGGCCACAAGCATTAAGGCAGCTGAATAAGCAATTTGGATTAGAATGACAAGAAAGAGAAAAACAATAGGAACTTAAATGCCACCTCATAATAAAATTCATAAATTGACTTGTGACAACATAAAAATTATTCTGACTAAGATAAGTTGACAGAAGGAAAAATTGGATATGAAATATAAAGAAAATCAGATAAAGGTCATTCTTTTCTCTATTCCTTCACTTATACTGATGTTTTTTAAAATCAATGATTCTCAAGTAATCACTAAGAAAAGCCCAACCTATACAACAATAAAATTGTGCTTTTCTGTGATAGGTAAAAAATATTCCTTACCAGTTATTAAGGTTAACCTAATTATTAATGTCAAACAACTAAAACTTTTTAACACCAAAATTTTAAGTAGAAAGAATTTTTGAAATAACATTGCAACTTCCTTATAGGATAGAGACTACTTTAATATTTTCAGATAAAAACAACAATGACTTTGACCAGCTACCTTTTGTTTACAGGAAACACCAGATTGTTGCAGGGTTTCTTGTTCTATGTTTATCCAGACAAACATCAAACAAGACAATACTAGTGGAAAGAGAGCTTCATACCTGACAGGTGGGGAAAGGTAGAAATAAAAAGAAAAAAACAGTAAAATAAGTAAAAATGGAAATCTACAGAGGTCTTTCTCAAAATCAAAATAATTTCATAATATATCTAAGACACAATATCTCAGAATTTAAATTTTCTAGGCTTTTCAGAAGAAGAAAGTATAAAAGTAATATTTAAATTTTAATTCCAATATCATCTTTTCTGAGTGATATGAAATCTTGAGATAATTATCTGTTTAAAATAACAGATATAAAAAAACCATTCATAAAGCAAATGACAGATATACATAAAAAAAAGAAGACATGAAGACAAAGGTAAAAAGATAATCTTGAGGTAAAATTATTAACATACATAGAAGAGGAAGAGGAACATTCTAAATTTAAAAAAAAATGGGTGCAACAAGAACACAAACATGAAAATTATGTTTGACCTTATCAATAACTGATATGGAAATTAAAACAATGGTGACATACCATATTTGCCAATATTAAAATAACAACAGTGCTGGCCAGGTTTGGTGGCTCATGCCTGTAATCCCAGCACTTTGGGAGCCTGAGGTGGGTGGATCACACAGTCAGGAGTTCGAGACCAGTCTGGCCAATATAGTGAAACCCCGTCTCACTAAAAACACAAAAAAATAGCTGGGTATGGTGGTGTGCATCCGTAATCCCAGCTACTCACAAGGCTGAGGCAGGAGAATCATGTGAACCCAAAAGGAAGAGGCTGCAGTAAGCTGAGATTGTGCCATTGCTCCTGCCACAGGAATATATACTTTCTGGAAAATCATTTGAAAGTATGTATCAAGAACCTCGAAAATACTTATACACTATAATGCAATAAGGCCATTTCTAAAAATTTACGGAGAAAACAATCAGACATGTGCTACAATGTCCATTATAAAAATATCTGTTGTAACATTGGTTATGGAAGGGGGAAACAGAAAACAACCTATATGTCCACAGAGGAATGATTAAATGTGTGGTACACATACAGGCTGCAGTGTAAAATGAACACAAAAACAAAGAAGAAATGATCATGAGATAACAACACAGTGATAGAAGCCTTTTCTAAACAGTTTCTGCTTTGTTTGGGGTTAAGTGTTCCACCTTCATAATCCCTAAATGCTCTATCATAGTACTTACACCGTCTTAATCACAGGTTTACTTGTACGCATCTATTATTATACTTTATAAAATCTTTGAAAACCAAGTCTGTGTCTGTCTCATCACCACTGCTGGCCTAGTTGACAAGTATTCACTGAGTGAATTACACATCTAATCAGAAGTTACAGAACAAAAGCAAACGGTATTTCCTTTTTGATTCTTTCAGCTACCAAACCCTACAGCATATGGCACTATTTCCTAAACATGAGAAAGCAAAAAACCTCCAAATACTTTAAACACTATTACAGATTATAAAATTACAACACTGAAGACTGGACAGAAGGAAAGATTCAGGTTTCAGAAAGCATACAAAAATCACTTGGTATATAAGACTGAGAAGACCCAGGGATATGAACAGATACTATACACATGAGAAAATATAAGTAAAACAAGTGCAGAAAACTGTAGAAAGCAGCGCCACTTTTGGCCTGTTAATATAACATTTTGATTTTCTTATTTAAAAACAGAAATACCAAGCACTATTACAGATATGATGAAATCACAGACCTCATAGTTTGTTGTAGACATTATAAATTGGTACTCTTCTTAAGACGATTACAAGTTAAAAAAAGAAATGTACCCAATGGCCCACGTACACTATATAGAGAAGTGAAAAGGAAATAATCTAGACTATGAAAAAGCTTATGCATAAAAACATAACTTAAAATATCATTTGTGATAGTAAAAAGTTGAAATAAAATCCATATAATGAAATATTAAATATCTACTGAAACAGTGGCTAGGAAGCCTATGAGCCACCTCGAAAGTGCTTCTAAAATGTTAATTAGAAAAAAAGATCGAAAATAGAACAAGTACTACAATTAATTTTATGTTAAAAAGACAAACACAGAGGTAACACTGGAAAGAAATATACCAGAACATTAGCAAGAGTAAATACATGATTTCATCCCTTATCCCTACTTTCCATAATGTGATGACACTATTTTTCCAATGGTTTTATTAAATTGAAAAACAAAGATTTAGAATGCTCGTATCCTGCCTGCCTTTCTTTAAAGTTCAGTTTAACATCCACGTGAGTCCTTGATGGCATTAACTCAGCTTCCCTACTCAAGTTCTTTCTCTAGTCAGTCTTTATATCACACAATTCACAACTTCATTAACTCACAGTAACTTGCTTGATTTTATAATTGTCTAACACTGTAAAACATAGTTATTTTATAGCAACTTATGACTCTATTGTACATCGGTAGTACACTCATGATTTTCCCTTGTGTGTCTGCATAGTGCTCTGGACATTGGATTTATGAAAGAAAAAAAACTGTTGATTAACTGAATCACGGTGCATACTCTGAACAAAAGGGGACCATAATTTTTTTTAAAGATTTGCAGTTATATATGAATTTATTGTTTCCTAACAGTTCAAAACATAAATGTCATAGATCAACAAATAGTGTAACAGACTTATTTCCTTTCAAAAACTATACATTATGATCACTTTCTTTTGTAAAATGTAGAAGAATAAATCAGATAAAGATAATCCTCCTATGGGACTTTATCTCTTAAGACAATCAATGTTTTGTATAAAGTCTGTATATCTGCATTAATAAACTGAAATATCAATGAAGTGTCATCACAGGCTCAGGGAGAACATAATGAAAACTTACTAAATTAGGATCTGCTGGTTTGGTCTCTGTGCAAATTGAATAGGGCTGACAAGGCATTTTAGCTTTGTATTACAGTTTGCCAAGGAAAGGGATAATGCAAAGAAAATTTCAAAAGAAAATGTTTAACCAACTTTAACCAAGAGAACAAACCATTTTCAAGTATTACAATAGTTCCATTTGCATAAAAATAATAAAGTGCTGATTAAAAACAAATCTTCTTTATTCATTAAATCAAGGATGCATTGTAAGAATTTAGGATTACTATTGCTGTATTTCTACAGTATAACTATATTTCTTTTAACTATTCTGTAATTTTGAATATTTACTAATTTACACAGAGAATCCTCCAGGTCATCCAAAATGGTCAAACTGATTCATAACAGGTGGCCTATGTTTTGCAAAACTGATTTGACCCTGAGAAAATGTATTGATTGAAATTACTGAACTCTGCTATTTCAAGATACTCCTTCTAATTTTTTTGGCAAAGCTAGATACACTTTCTGATGCTGAATAATATACCTCTTAATGAATTCATCAATAAGGTCATATCTTGCATTGGTATTCTAATTTTAGGTATAAAATTTTCACTTTTAGATTTTCTTAAAATAAGTTATGACTATGCTTATTATGATAATTTGTTTTGGCATTTCTTATGACTACTAAACTGATTATTTAAAATAATTATCCCCAATGTAAGTTACATGATTAACTCACACATATTATGAAATAGTATTTTCATTCAAAATTAAACTTCAGTTATCCTTTCTTTCTCTCCTTTTCTAATCCAGCAAATCAGATCTATTTTATATTTGTATATATTTTTTAATCAACTACACATTCCTTTAAATCTGTTTATTGCTTTAGAGTTTGAAGGTTCAAAAAAGAGAAGGGTCTATTAAGAGACTGTACAAAAGTTAGTACATATTTCTGCACACTTTCAAACATTTATTTCCTTAAGTCAACCTCTGGGTATGATCTCTTAATAAAACTCTTAAGTCTCCCTGAAATGGTAGGTTAGAAAAGAAATTATTTTAACCTCTTTTTTTACATAGAACCTCTTTTTTTACATAGATTAAAACTTGTGCATAATCAAATTCACTTTTACTCTTATAGACTCTAATATAACAAAATTATTTATCCTGAAATTGCGCTAATAAAGGGGGAAAACTGAAGGATTTTAAGTTCTCATGATGTCCATCACTCTTGAATAACAGATGCCCATAGATTTCCAGTTTTATTTTGAAGTTCTATTTCAAAGGTCTAAATCCCAAAGAAAGCCTATTCTAAAATCCAGTTAGGTAACTGGTAAAAATTTCCATGACGTTTGTATCATATCTTCAGAGCTGTGGCCCACATCTGGCTAGGCAGGGGGAAAGGAAATGAAAGGAGATGGACAGCTTTGGTGAAAAAAAAGAAGTTCAGGGCCCCACTGGATCATCTCTTATTTGGGACTACAAGAACTCTGAGGGTCTAGGTCACTTAGGGTGTTAGGGTCTATTGTGACAAGACTTTGAGAACATCTCTGTAATTTTGAACTATGACAACTAAGTTTCCAAAAGGGAGAACCTGAGCCTTGGACCCCAAATGACTTTACAAAATCATTTAAACTATGAATAATCTGATAGAATAATGGTGAATCCCTAGGTTTAATCTAACTTTGATGAAGATTCTGTATTTGGGCCAAAATTCAAACTGTTTATGAGTGGTGCTTATTCACTTCCTTTGCTCTAGTCATTGTTTGTTATAATGTGCACATTTCTTACCCTTATAAAGATTTAAGCAAGGACGAAATTCAAAAGCAAGAAATAATTCTTCAAAGTTAATAGAGTATATCCTGTCTTCACTGAGTTCCAGAAAATACTTCAGGATTCACCCCAAGTTAAGCTGCTGATCTTTTTTGTTTTGTTTTGGTAAGAAAATTTCAAACTAAAATAGAAATAAATCTTTAAGTTTTGGGAAAATATTCTGAAGGTTCTCTGAATCAAATGAATATTTGAACTGTGACATGGATAAGATTAAAAAAAATACCACATCCAAAGAAGAATAGACAAATCAAAGCATAATTTAAAATAAATAGAGGAATGCAACAAAAAATAAAAGTCATTGAGACTTAAAATTTCTCCATAATCAATCAGAATTTTCTAACATTATAGTCAAATAATATTTTAGCAACTTTAGAAAAGAAAAAGACAAAGACAGCAAGCAATACTATAAAATGGATTTAAAAAAAAGAAATCAGATTACAGATCAAGTCAAATACAGTTCTTACAGAGAAGAAAATATTTATAACTTACCCAAGATTTAGAAAGCATTTTTCATTTCTAGAAGTTAAATACTAATAGAGGAAATATCAATATATCATTTAAAACTTGTTGCTATAAAATTAAATTGTTAAAAAGTTTATACCCTGTGCTTAAAAGTAGGTAGGTTGACATCAATGAAAGAAGTATGCTGAACAATCGCTGAAAGAGAGCTGGAGAACTCAGTAGTGGCACAATCAAGGAAGAGGCTGCAATGAAACAAAACAGGTCATGTGTCAGTACAAGAGACACACAAAAAAATGTTACTGTAGGGCTAGGGACAGTGGCTCACACCTGTAATCTCGGCACTTTGGGAGACTGAGGCAGGCGGATCACCTGAGGTCAAGAGTTTGAGACCAGCTAGATCATGGTCTAGCTCTAACAAGCATTTTTGCTTAATATGCTATGATCTCCAGATGGATGGTATGTTTTAAAATTGGTTCTATTTATGTCACTTAGAATAGAGACTCTTATTTTCCCTTTATTACCTATTTTTAGTAGAGACAGGAAACTCTGTTTTAGTAGAAACCCTGTCTCTGTCTCTACTAAAAATACAAAAATTAGCCGGACATGGTGGTGTGCACCTGTAATCCCAGCTACTCAGGAGGCTGAGGTAGGAGAATCGCTTGAACCCGGGAGGCAGAGGTTGCAGTGAGCTGATTCCACTACTGCACTCCAGTCTAGGTGACAAGAGTGAATCTCTATGTCAAATAAATACATACATACATACATACATAAATGTTAGTGTAGAAGCCCTAAATAATCTAGTGTCATTTACAGCATCTATTGTTTGTGTGACCTTCAACATGAGGCTATATTTGCTCTAATCATAATCAGGCCTCACATGTTTAATTAAAATTACATTTCATTGTTTTAACTATGCTCAGATTTTCTCAATCTCAGCCAAGATTACTGTAATAATATTAACTCATAAATCAATTATTTTCTACTGAAATAAAATTATTACTCAACATTTAGCATGCTTTGCTTAATCAGACATTTATATCTTAGTTCAAAGACAACTTACTCCTCAGAAACTGATTTTTTCCTAACCTCATCCTTCTCCAAGTTTTCCCACTGTAAAGTATGCACTGGCAGTTGTAGTATGCCCCTTAGAAAAGAGAAACAAGAATGACTTCGCCATGCATGAAAGTTGTATTAACTCTCCCCCAGGATCATAAAAGCAACTACCCCAGTGGAGGAAGGGCAGATGAAGAAGGTGGAGTGGCAAAACGTAAACTCCTCCATCTCTATTCTGGGAAGGAAATGTCCATAACTTCTTTATCCCCCTAGTGCTCTAGAGTATGCAGATAGACAAGTTGGAATGAAATCCTGGCTGAATCACTTATTAACTGTTTAAAATGTAGGGCAAGTTTTTTAACTGATCTAAGCAGAAATTTACCCACCTGTCAAATAGAGATAACATTAAAAAGCTGTGAGGATTAAATACAATTTTACCTATTCAATATTCCCTGAGAATAGTGCTAGCACATAGTGCCTAGTAACTGTTAGCTGCTGTTATTATTATTAGTCAACATCTTGTAATGTTGATTGTAATGTCAATTTTATCTAAATGTAATGTGAATTTTATCTAAAGTCAAGTCGCTGCAAGATTTAAGATTATGAAGCTATTTTATAATACCCTTAGATGAGTATCTTCTGACATTTTCCAGATGTATAGTTCCAATCATAATCAACTGATACATATTTTAACTGGAAGAAATAACATTTCAATATGTCTGATTTTAAAAGCCAGTTAATCTGTTGGGCAAATGATGGTTGCGAAAAAATAAAAAGCAAAAAATAAAAGTCGGTTCAAATGAGACCTCTTCTGTAAAACCGTATATATTTTCTCTTCTTGTTTACTTTTGTCTAAATGATTGATAAGGTACTAAAGGGAAAATAAGTGTGTCTATTCTAAGTGACAAAAGTAGAACCAATTTTAAAACATAACATCCATTTGGGGATCATAGCATAGTAAGCAAAAATGCTCATTAGAGTTAGATCATAATGTATCTGTGCCTAGAAGAGATCCTTGGAGATACTGATGACCTACCTATGAGTCAACTATTTTATCATTTGATAGGTATCCTGTAGAACCTAGCTCTACAAATCCCAACGAGAAAAAATCTTGTTTAAAATACATGCCCAGAGAAGCTTTCATGTTTGGAGAACAATAGCAGTAAACCAATTCTGAATCTCCTCCTCACTGTTCCAAAACAATAATCAAATCAATAAAGACAATAAATAAAATCATATAGGATAATCCAAATAGAGAAAGAAACATATAAAACACTGCATAACGTATATGCATGCTCTACTACAACATAAGAAGATTTGACAGAATCTTCTTGACAGAATCTTCAATTTGTTGTAGTAGAGCAGACTTACACGTTCTGCAGTATTTTCTATGCTTCTTGAGAACAAGCTCAAGAGTCATGTTAGTAAACATGAATGAGCTCAACTCACCTTTTTACTTAAAAGAAAAAATTGTGGAATTGGTACGTAAAGCAAAACCTAACTCTATGCAGAATACAGAAGCCAAACTTAAAACACAGTGATTCAAAAAGGCTAAACATAAAGGCAAATGGAAACAGTAAGAAATCTAAAGTTGCAATCCTGATACCAAAGTACACTTTAGACCAAAAACAATAAGGCAAAGAAGAACACTCTATGATGTTAAAAGTGACAATCCACAATGGTAATGTAATAGTTATAAATATTTTGTTTCAAACAACATAGTAACCACATACATAAAATAAAAATTATGATATTCTTCACAGAAATAGAAAAAAAAATCCTAAAACTCATATGGAACCACAAAAGACTCTGAATAGCCAAAGTAATCCTGAGCCTTTAAAAAAAAAAAAGAACAAAGCTAGAGGGATATCATGAAGTCATGACTTCAAAGTATATTACAAAGCGGTAGTAACCCAAAGAGCATGGTACTGTCATAAAAACAGACACATAGACCAATGGAACAGGATAGAGAACCCAAAAATAAATCCACACATTTATAGCTAACTCATCTTGACAAAGGCACCAAGAACATATATTGAGGAAAGGACAGTGTCTCCAATAAATGGTGCTGAGAAAATAGAATATCCAAATTCAAAACAATAAAATAAGATCCATATCTCTCACCACTTAAAAAACAAATCAATTCAAAATAGTTTAAAAACCTGAAATTAATACCTGAAACTATGAAACTACTGGAAAAAAACTATTGGGAAAACACTTCAGGACACTAGTCTGAAAAAGATGTTTTTGTTAAGAGCTCAAAAGCACAGGCAACAAAAGCAAAAGTAGACAAATGGGGTTATATCAAGCCCGAAAGCTTCTACATAGCAAAGAAAACAATCAATGGAGTGAAGAAACAACCTACAGAATGGGAGAAAATATTTGCAAACTACCCATCTGACAAGGGATTAATAACTAGAATATATTAAAAGCACAAACACTTCCACAGCAAAAAACCTATTAATCCAACTAAAAAATGGGCAAATGATCTGAGTAGACATTTCTCAAAAGAAGATATACAAATGGCCAACAGGTGTATAAAAAAAAATTCACTATCACTAATCTTCAAAGAAATGCAAATAAAAACCACAATGAGATATCATCTCACCACAGTTAGAATTGCTATTATCAAAAAGCAAAAAGTAGCAATGCTGGCAATGATGTAGAGAAGGGGGATCCTTCGTACATTGTTGGTAGGAATGTAAGTTAGTACAGCCATTCATGAGAGGTGGGCCTCCATGACCAAAACAACAAAAATCATCAAAAGATGTTAAAGTTAAAGTGTAGGTCAAATAATTCACAGGCATTATAATGGCTTTTTTGAAAAAAAAAAAAAACAAAAAACAAAAAAAAACCTGGACTCAAAACTTGCTCTTGTCTTCCAAATGGAAGGGAAAACCTAAGTCCTTAAATTACATGTTTGCTTCACACATATATTCCAATATTCTTAACTAAGAGGACTACATAGAAGAATATGCTTTCAAATGTCTAATTAGCTTTTCAAAGTATGCAATTTGTACTAGTTGATGTTATTTTTAGGAAAGGAAACAGATAAAATTTAAGCATTTTCCAGTCCCTGTGTAAGAATGGAGAATTTATGAACTGGCATGAAAAGGAAGCATAAGGTCCTCTTCACCCTTTTGTCTTTTGGAATCACTTAGTAGACTCTTACCAGATGTATATAAATATATAGCTTTATTATTAGGTCATAAATATTCTATCAAATTATCTTATTAACACATGCATGCACACAAGAATTCTCTTTGTTAAATTCCATCAAGAGATAGAACTAATAGCCAGTTATTATGATTTTCTACAACAAAATTATTTCTTTCAATAACAATAATACAGATAAAAACAGATCATTTTGAGATAACTAAGTTGATGTCAAATTACCTCACTTGGTTTGAGTGGCCTCTTACCTAATGTTGCCCAGCTAATAATTTGATTTGTAAGAGGCAGTCCTTGCTTCTTGAGTAGACTACTCTGGGTGCTATACACAACATACATGGAGAGCACTGTGCTCAGCACCTGAAGACAAAGATGAAATAGGTTAAAAAAAGAGAAGGTAGTGAAAGATTATATACTAGCAAGACATTCTTGCTTCTAAGATGTTAAAATGTGGGAAAAAAATGTGTATCTTGGAATCAATGAAATATAGTGGACACTATAGGAACTCGTGCAAGTTAACAAACCTAACACAAAAATGAATTGTGTAACAGAGTTACCTAATACTCAGGAGTATGGCTAACAAAGCACATAAGAATTTTAGCATGATATTCTTGGTTCCCCTCGAGAGAGATTCAGAAACATTCACTTCTGTCAAAGTACTCATTATTCTAGACACATTCTGTCAAAGCTGCTATGGCTTGAGTGTAGAGTACCATTTAAAAAGAAACATATGTTCCAATTGCTTGACAGAACTTTTGACAAAAAAATTTCCTCTCCTTTTATAAGTCCCTGTTGCTCTCCAAGAATGAATTTAACTTCTGATGTAATCTTTCAGATGTTGTATATTTTTATTTCAGAGTGTTCTTGGAAACACCATCTACTCTCCCAGCTTTGATCTTGAAGAAATTTTTTGAGAAGACTCATATGAGTTTTACTTTTTGTCTGTGGTCTAGAAGTGGTTATTTGTTTATTTATTCAGTTAAAAAGAAAAACAGATGTTTTCCATCCTTATCTATGGAAAAAGTTGTCATTTTATAGACTATTACATGATATAATTTCTGTCATAACCCTATCAGATATTATCTCTACAGATTAAAAAGAAACAAGTGACTGGGTGTGGTGGCTCACACCGGTAATACCAGGACTTTGGGAGGCTGGGGCGGGTGGATCACCTGAGGTCATCCAGGACTTTGGGAGGCTGGGGCGGGTGGATCACCTGAGGTCAGTAGTTAGAGACCAGCCTGGCCAACATGGTAAAACCCCATCTCTACTAAAAATACAACTTTAGCTAGCCATGGTGTAATCCCAGCTACTAATTACATAGCTTGCAATCCCAGCTACTCACGAAGCTGAGGCAGGAGAATCACTTGAGCCCGGGTAGCAGAGGTTGCAGTGAGCCGAGATTGCACCACTGCACTCAGCCTGGGTAACAAGAGTGAGACTCCACCTCAAAAAAGAAAAAGAAAAGAAAAAGAAAAAAACAAAAACTGAAAGTACCCATCTAGTATACAGCATAACTGGGAATGGACTCAATTTTGAAACATCAAGTTCAAAGTTATTTTCACCACACCAAAGCCACCAACCACGCTGAAGTTTATTTTCACCTGGGAAATGAACTGAAGCCTTAAACTAGCTATTCTTTATATAAACATACCCCAGGCTACTTTCACTTCAAAGAAGTGACCCTGCCTGACCCAAATGAGGGCAATGTGGAATGTCAGTCCAGAGGAAGCCCTTTTCATTGCAACTTTTTGGTCAATACAGGTGTTGCTTAAGTTTCTGTAACCTCTGCTCTTCAGGTATCACTGGGCTGCCTCTTAACGACCTTTTGCTATTTCATACCTCTTAAAGAACACATTTCCATGTAGCATCTCAAACAGAAAGCTTTCTCCTCAGCTGGCAGATACTGAGTAGCATAAAGGTAATGGCATTTTATGAACATAATTCAATATAACCATAAGATACATTTTTGTGTATCATTATTATAACATAGTATTGACAATCTATAACTGACCTGTAATAGATGTACCAATAGCTCTTCCTTTATAAAGCTATCTTTTCTTTTTGTGAGAGATGTTACAACATACAGGGAGAGCAGAAGAACCAGCAAGCCTGCACCCATCCTGTTTTAAAATACAATTTAAATTTTTCTTCAGATATTTACTGAAAACATATCAAATGGAAACATGAGATATCTTACTCCAATGCAGAACCTCTCAGTCATTTGGCTTAATCAAGAGGAGGAAAAAAAATGGGTACATTTTAAGATTTTAAGAAAACTTTAAATCTTAGGATAAAGATACTGCTGGGTGGGATTATTTGTAACGTCTCCTCATAATTTTTTAAGTATCTTTACCTTACTTCTATGATTTAATTAAAAATTTTTTAGGCATACCAAGTACTATAATATTTAGCCTGAATTGGGCAAATTTACAAACATTTACTATATAAAAGATAGCTAACAAGTATATTATCAGCATCTACAACGTATACTTTGTGATTAGGAAACTCAGTTATGCAAAAAGTATCTACATATATAACCTATATTATTTCTAGCAGGAAAAACAGCTCCCTTCTGTGACAGACCTTGGTATTTTCCTCAGCTGCCCCTGCCTGAGAGAAGGGGTAGCCAGTGGTCACATGGGTGGCATGCAGGAAAGGCATTTGTATAGTAATGAAACAACAAATTACGCCTTTCAAGAACACCAGGTATAGTATGTTTCCTAAAGTCAAAGGTGACTGATACCAAAGAAATGGTGCCCTACTGTTTAGCTCTTTCTCTCCTTCTTAACATCTGAATAAGACAGCACAGCCGAACTTATGCTGAGGACAGAACAGTGAACCCAGATAGAACTAAGAGAAAAGGAGTTGGCTGAAGAGAAAAAACAAAGAGCAAAAGCCAGAGCTGGACACCTAAGAAGAATGTAAGGCAGGAATCGTGAGGAAAATGCTTAATGGTTGTTTGTTTCTGATGCTTCAAATACTCTCTATGAGAATCATACGGAGTAAGGGAGTTACATATTCAACATAGATTAATATTAAATTTTAGGAAAAAATATTCACATGATTAAAATTCTTTTTCTTTCTTTTTTTCTTGTCTTTTTTTTTAAATGGTGTCTCACTCTGTTGCTCAGGCTGGAGAGAAATGGCACGGTCTCAGCTCACTGCAATCTCCACTTCCTGGGTTCAAGTGATTCTCCTGCCTCAGTCTCCCTAGTAGCTGAGATTACAGGTGCCCACCACCACGCCCAGCTAATTTTTGTATTTTTAGTAGAGACAGGGTTTCACCATACTGGCCTCGCTGGTCTCAAACTCCTGACCTCATGATCCGCCTGCTTCGGCCTCCCAAAGTGCTGGGATTACAGGGGTGAGCCACCACACCTGGCCCCTTTTCTCTTTCTTACGTTTTAAAATAATTTGACAGTTAAACTTATTGGCAAATATGTTCTTACTTTAGAACTCTAAAGTAACAGACATTACAACTATGTTGTACACGTGTTTGCTTTTTCCTTTAACCGTATCCTTAAATGTTTCACAAAATGACATCTTTGTAATTTTCTACGCAAAATACAGAAACCAAACTTAAAACACAGTGATTCAAAAAGGCTAAACATAAAGGCAAATGGAAACAGTAAGAAATCTAAAGTTGCAATCCTGATACCAAAGTACACTTTAGACCAAAAACAATAAGGACACTTTATGATGTTAAAAGTGACAATCCATAATGATAATGTAATAGTTATAAATGTTTTGTTTCAAACAACATAGTAAGCACATATACAAAATAAAAATTATGATATTCTTCACAGAAATAGAAAAAAAAATCCTAAAACTCATATGGAACCACAAAAGACTCTGGATAGCCAAAGCAATCCTGAGCCTTAAAGAACAAAGCTGGAGGCATCATGAAGTCATGACTTCAAAGTATACTACAAAGCTGTAGTAACCCAAACAGCATGGTACTGGCATAGAAACAGACACATAGACCAATGGAACACAATAGAGAACCCAAAAAAAAAGAAGGGAGATGCTGTGACAGATAAAAAGAAGAGTAAAATTTCTCCATGAACCAGGAATCAAAATAAATAAGTTGCAAATATAGCTAGTAGAATAAACTTAAAATCACTGAGCAATTTAAATTTAGAGGAAAACAACATAATTTTCTAAAATATAAATGAGATTTCTCATATTTTAACAAGCTTATTTGCTTCCCACATTCATCTTTAATAGAATATGCAAGTGGCAAATTTATACAATTTCCCTCCCTTTTAGCATATGATAAATTCTGTTCAATGATGCTAATACTCCTTGAACAGGACTGATAGGCAGAGACTGATGAAGGGAAGGGAAGGGGTTTCATAGAAACAATAGAAGAGCTTACAGAGCAATCTGAAGCAAGACACAAATGAAAATATTTGAATTCATTTTCTCAGATACTATTTATAGGTTACAACAGTTGCAAAATATTTTGGCTTAGTATCACTCTAATAAAGTATGGCTTAGACAGTATGGTGTTAGAATTCAACACAATTATTTTGGGCTCTGCTAATAAAGTGACTTCCTGGGATAATTCCAGATCTATTCCATATTGGTATTCTCATACAAACAGGAGAAAATGTATAGAACCTCATAGATCAGCACGTATTTTTACAAAATATCATTTAGTGAATCTTCCTTCATTTAAAAATATATACCCTCATCCATTACAGATTTGGCTAAAATGTTTTTAAAGATGCTTATAGAGTTCCAAAGAAAGTAACAAAGATGATTTTACATGATTGGAAATGAGAGGATATGTTAAATGAGATAATGATCATACACACACTCATACAGCCCATACTTTACTTGACAATAATTTAAAGTGCAGTTAAAAGCAAAGGTAATCAGTTAATTTATAGATTTATTTAGGTCTATTAAAGAGAAATAAATATAGCAGCATAGTGGGAGATTGAGGCAAGATATGCAGAAGAATTTTCAAATAATTTGAGTGGTTACACATGGGAAAGCTGTCAAGGTAGACAGAATTTCCTCCCATGGAGAGGTTTACAATCAGTTCAGAATAGGAGAAAATTTCAATTTTATATGACATTTTAGTGTGGACAGGATTGAAGCAAAGAGAGCTAACATAGTAGTTTAGAAATCTTTTTGTTTGGGCACAGAATATTTTTTCATATGAAACTAAAACTTTTACTGATTCCCCAAAGCATAAAAAAAATAAAACCTTCTAGACATAAACAAACGAACAAAAAAGGTGCAGGAGTTGCTATTTTAAGTCATCACTGGCACAATTTCATTTTGAAAGCCCAGAAACATCTCTCAGGAGGTTTAATGACTCTCAGAACGTAGGCCAAAATCATGACTAATGGTTTGATATCGGTATTTTAAATTCCCTTTTGTTCACACGATTTTAAATTCATGACCAAGATTAGGTTCAAATTTCACAGTGTTAATTGAGGGAAATAAAACTGTATTGAAAAGAAAATAAATTACAGTATTATTCATACACTAGAGAGATGTCTGGCTTTCGACCTACAACCGGCATCAGTGGGAACACTGCCAGGAGCAAAGAGAAGAAAGTCCAACTCAGTGAGGTCACCTAAAATCAAGAAAAAAGTTAACCTTAGACAAATATGGTATAGAAAAGTATCAACAGTGTTTCGTAGACTACATGACTGCAAAGCTAAAAGGAAAATGCAAAGCCTTACAGCTGTTTATTATTTTATTTTTCTCAAATACATTCTAGCAGAATCAACAGCTATTTACTCTAAAGAGTAATAGTTACTATCTGTGAAGGACCTGTGGCATAGCAGGTGTAGTAACAGGTATAATATGATCATTTTCTCCTTTAATTCTCACAATAACCTCAGGAGGCAGGTAATATTATTATTCTCAATATATCAGATGAGGAAACAGAGCTCAGAGAAGTTAATACATAAGTAGTACCAGGTCCATGACAAGTAAATACCATATCCAGGATTTAAACCTGCATCTGACATTTTAAAAAGTGCTTCATTCAATTTATGTTAGACCACATACTGATGATGACATCTATAAAAAAGGTGGCCTACAATCATCATCAAACAACTGAGCCCAGAGGGAAAACAAGTAAAACTATTTTGTAATTAGATTAAGACCATCTATGAATTAAAAAATCAACAATCCCATTCATTGAAGATTTTTAATAAATTCTCAGAGTAGAAAGAAGGTATCTTCCTGCTAATTCTATAACAAAGTATCAAAGTGGAAATATGAGAGCATTCTTTGTAGTAGCACATTGTAATTCCCTACCTAGCTGAAGAAAGAAAATGAAGACTGATTATATTTTTAAATATCTATAATAAATATATACTTTTCCAGGAAAAAAAAACTGAGTGTCTCAGGATAAGGAGGGAAGTGTCTCCTATGACTCAGGTTCAGAGTGCGGACACCTAAGCCACCGTGCTGTGCTGCTCTGAGCGGCTCCTTGCCTGGTCTATTATCAAGATATTTGAAGCTAAACAAATCCAGAAAGTGCTTCAGAGATGGACATACCAGCACTACTACATAGCATTTCAATTACCACCTAACTGGCCCATTTTGATGTGAAAGTCTAAGTGAATTACTGAAACCTGAAAGGTAGTATCAGTCCTCCTATCAATATGACTAGGTTCTTTTATGTAAAAACACATTCTATCGTTTTCTTTAAAAATAAAGTTACACATGTGTCAAAACAAAGTAGTTACTAATCTGTCCTATGTCAAAATGAGTACTCATACCTTTGCTCGAGTCCACAGCCTAGTAAGAAATGGCCAACCCGCAAAAGCAGTAAGTCCAACAGTAAGCATATACCGGTAGAAAAAACTGAGAACCTAGTAATGCATTCCAAGGAAGAAATGAAAAATAAGGTCATTTAATACTAGTTACAAATATATGAAAGAAAGTTGCAATTGTTGTAATCTGGTAAGTTACTTACTAATACTTCAATTCCCAGGGTAAAGACTAACAGGTACCCAACAAAATGGCTCAGAGGATAGGTCAATAGTGATGTGACAAGGTCTTGAATAACCTGAAATCTGTTTCAAATAAAAAGACTGATTGTATTTTAAAGTTAGGTCATATATAGCATAAAAATACAAACTTTGCAAGAAGCTAAAAAATTAGAGATTTTTTCCCTTTATAGATTATTCAAAAACTAAAACTCTAACAGATTTGTTTCAAGGGCTTTACTTACCCAATTTTGTTTTAATCTAGCAGTATTTTAGGGGAAATGTAATTTCTGAATTAATTTGAAAACATTTAGCCAGGCGCAGTGGCTCATGCCTGTAATCCCAGCACTTTGGGAAGCCGAAGAGGGCAAATCACCTGAGATCGGGAGTTTGAGACCATTCCGGCCAACTGATGAAACCCCATCTCTACTAAAAATACAAAATTAACCAGGCATGGTGGCACATGCCTGTAATCCCAGCTACTTGGGAGGCTGAGGCAGGAGAACAGCTTGAACCAAGAAGTGGAGGTTGCAGTGAGCTGAGATCACATCATTGCACTCCAACCTGGGCAACAAGAGCAAAACTCCGTCTCCAAAACAAAAACAAAAACAAAAGAAAATGATCACAAAATTTGCTTGGTTTTTACAAAAAATTAATGACAAACGAATCTTGTTTGATCTTAGTTTAAACATGAGTTCATACAATTATACAGATACAATATGAGACATAAACTACAATGAGTCCAAATGCATATAAACTGAAAAAATTTTTTTAATTCACCCAAGTAATTCTATATTTAAATCTAAATGAAATAAAGGTAGGGTTTCCTAATCTAATTAGGGAAAATCTTAATTACATTTTTTAACTGAGCTAAATAACCTTTTCCAAACACAATTTAAGATGTCACTAATCATACACTAATTGTAATTAAGTGAACTCATAACCATCAAAAATGTATTACATACTTGAGTACTTTTTTCATTTCATTACGAGGAAAAAAGGTAACTCTGTAGTGCATTATTAAGTAGGTAATTTTAGAAGGTCAGTATCATTTGGTTTATGACCTTCCTCTGATTGAAAGCAATGCTGCAGAATGTTATCAAAATGATGAAGGCACCATGTAGGAAAGAAAAGCTAACACCAGCCAAAAGGGGAATGTTTCTTTTACTCTCAACAATGAATAAGCACAGAGGAACAAGAGATAATTTTATAAAATCATTTAGAAGATTGTGAATGTATGTGTCTTTTTTCTATATAATTTATCAAAAAGATAAAGATGGGACACAATATATTTTCAGAATTATGTTTTCCCTTAAAATTTAAATATATATATATATATATATATGTTTTCTTAATAATTAGGACATTTAATAATTCAGGAGGAGTTCTGAACTAGATATGATTTTCTGCAAGGACAAAAACTTTCATTCTAAAAGTTTAAAAACCAGACCAAATGATGTTTTTAAAAATCTGAGTTAAATGTGCATATGCAACAGTGCTATTCCTGACAAATGGAGAAGTAACAGTATGTTATCTGATCAGTGTTCTTTTCTCTTATGTTTAAAAATCCTTAATATTTTAAGTATTTTAATATTAACATTTTGATATTTTTAACTTAAAAAAAATTTTTTGAGATAGAGTCTCATGTTGTCGCTCAGACTGGAGTGCAGTGGTGCAATCTCGGTTCACTGCAACCTCCGCCTCCTGGGTTCAAGCAATTCTCATGCCTCAGTCTCCTGAGTATCTGAAATTACAGGTGTCTACCACTATCCCTAGCTAATTTTTGTATTTTTAGTAGAAATGACATTTTGCCATGTTGGCCAGGTTGGTCTCAAACTTCTGACCTCAAGTGATCCACCCACTTCAGCCTCCCAAAGTGCTGGGATTAAAGGCATAAGCCACTGCACCCAGCCAACCGTTAAATATTTTTAATACTTCATGTTTTGTTTTGTTTTTTTTTTTGAGATGGAGTTTCGCTCTTGTTACCCAGGCTGGAGTGCAATGGCGCGATCTCAGCTCACCACAACCTCCGCCTCCTGGGTTCAAGCAATTCTCCTGCCTCAGCCTCCTGAGTAGCTGGGATTTCAGGCACGCACCACCATGCCCAGCTAATACTTTATGTTTTAAAAGATGGAAGAAGCAGTCAAAGCTAAAGTTAGGAAAAATTAGAATAAAGTATGGTAATGTCATGATGCATGTGCTAAGCCAATCTTGGGGACACCCTTATTATAATAGGCTCTCATTCTTTCATTGACTTTAGGGGTCTGCTTTTTTCAGAAAATACTTTGATATCCAAGATTAAGCTTAAATTATAGATTACTGGTGTAAAAACAGAAACCAACAAGATCTGCAATATGACTCTGGCTGCCGTGGTACAAGGGTCAGGGACTTTAAGTACAGAAGATGATCCTAGATAATCTGGGTGGGCCTGGTTCAATCTGTTGAAAGGCTCTAAGAGCAAAACTAAGGGTTCCCTAAAGGAGAAATTCTACCTGTTGAGTGCAGCTTCAGCTCCTGCTGGAGAGTTCAGTCTGCCTTTGCTGATAGCCTGACCTGTGAATTTAGGACTTGCCTAACTAGGCCCCACAATCACATAAAACCATTTTCTAGTAGTTTTATTTAGGAGTTTGAAACTTGCCAAAGAGCCTTACTTCTACTGTTTTTGACAATGTTAACAATACATTCTATTTTAAGTACAACCTGTGAGGAAGTAATTCTAGGTAGAACCACAGAACATGTGATAAATATAGACTAATCCCTGTGTGTAAACATTACCATATTAGATTTAATTAGAAAGTTTAATTTATCTAGGTCTACACGATCGCTAGGAAAGGAGGAGTCAGAACATATGGAAATAAAACACACAAACGTTTTTGTCAAAAATGAAGATATACTGGAATCTGAGATGATGACACAAGTTCAAAATGCAAGTTAGTCTAGGCATAGCATAATCAATATTAATCACTACTTTTATTCCACATTTTTTCTATAAAAGATACACAAAGAAGTGAATAAGGTCACTGCTACTTCAGAAAAGTAAAGATGAAGTTGAAAGGGAAAGGTATAACAAAAAGAATGTTTATATAAACATTTATGCAGTTATAAATGAAGTGACAGGGTTTGGAGATCTGAAAGTACAGTATTATAAATATCTTTGATGACCTATGGTACAGAAATCTAATGCATTTTAAATACAGATTTAACTGTCAGTGAAGTGAAAAAACAAGGCAGCAAGATGCATTACTTACTCTCTTAGAACTGCATACCATATTGGCACTGGCAACAAACAATATACATAATATGTCCAGGGACAGGCTTGAATCAGCAGAAACAATGCTACTAAAATGCCAATAGCTACAAAACTACATGGCAAGAAATGGCTTGGTTTCTGAAAAATCAAACAAAACAAAACACTTCTAAACCAATGGTAATTGACAGGTTTTAAAAGAGATTTTATAAAGTGAAGAAAACCAATTACTTTCTTTCAATGGTTATACAACTAGATGATTAATCAAAGAGCTACATTAAGACAAGAAAAAAATCTATTATTTGAGGAGCACATTAATGAGGAAAACCTAGAGAGCCTGGAATGGTTGCAATTAAGCAATTCTCAACTTAAAAGTGACTATGGCCTTAAAGTTTGTTTGCAAGTAATTTATTCAGAATTCCAAACATGTTTCCTCTTAGGAACAATTTTATAAATGTTGATTGAGTTATCTGGATAACTCACAAAAGCCTATTTAATCCATAATAAAGTATGGGACTCAATTTTTATTTGGAACAATGTTCTATCTATTCAAACTCCAACATGACATGATACCTAAGCTTCTCTCTCTATTGCCCACCCAATAGAAGCTTCATTCAGTCATATGTACTATTCCCAATCACCTGGCAAACGAGAGATTTCATCAATGTAATTCATTAGTGATAGTCTCCATGGTACAAGAGTCAGGGACTTTAAGTACAGAAGATGATCCTAGATAATCTGGGTGGGCCTGATTCAATCAGTTGAAAGGTTCTAAGAGCAAAACTAAGGGTTCCCTAAAGGAGAAATTCTACCTGTTGAGTGCAGCTTCAGCTCCTGCTGGAGAATTCAGTCTGCCTTTGCTGATAGCCTGACCTGTGAATTTAGGACTTGCCTAACTAGGCCCCACAATCACATAAGCCAATTTCTTACACTCCATCTCTTAATATATATTGCCTCCTGGTTCTATTTCTCTGGTTTTTAAGATGTACCAGCCGGGCGCGGTGGCTCAAGCCTGTAATCTCAGCACTTCGGGAGGCCAAGGCGGGTGGATCACGAGGTGAAAAGATCGAGACCATCCTGGTCAACATGGTGAAACCCTGTCTCTACTAAAAATACAAAAAATTAGCTGGGCATGGTGGCGCATGCCTGTAATCCCAGCTACTCAGGAGGCTGAAGCAGGAGAATTGCCTGAACCCAGGAGGCGGAGGTTGCGGTGAGCCAAGATCGCGCCATTGCACTCCAGCTTGGGTAACAAGAGCGAAACTCCGTCTCAAAAAAAAAAAAAAAAAAAAGATGTACCAACTTGTCACTAAATAAAGTATAAATGCTACAGTCCAGCATTTGAAGCCTTTGATTACTTCGGCCTAATCTATATTATTTCTTACCAGTCCCTTGAACAAACCTCCCGCATTCTACCCAAAGTGAACTATTTATTTTGAATGAAGCATGGTGGAGAAAGAGAAAGAATTCAAGTGTCAGAAAATATGGGTTCTGTCATTTAAAACACACGTGTCCTTGCGGAAAACATGTAATCTTTCTGAGCCTAAATCCCTCCATCTGTATTATGAGAAACATAACCCCCAAATTTAGAGTAGTGTTAAGCTTAACTGAATAACTTACGTAAAGCACCCAGGACGGTCCTGGAACAGTGGGGCTCAATGTATATTACTATTATCCCAGCATAACAGTACATCTTCCCAAATCTGCCTCTGTTTACATCATTCAATTTGTTTTAATTCTCATTATCTCCCTAGATTCTGACTGGTAAAATCCCACCAAGACTGACTTTTCCTGTTATCGTCACCCTAAAGTCAGCTCTCTTACTTAAAATATGATACTCTTATATCGCCTCCAACACTTAACACATCTTAAAGCTGTCTTTTGTAGTAGAGTGTAGACATAGTGACCTATACTTGGTAAGGTGGTTATATGTGTACATCTCTTACCTATTTCATTAAATTCTAAGCTCTCTGATGGCAGAATCTAAATCCAGTATTTCTTTGTATGGCCTATACAGCAAGCTTGTCCAATCTGCAGTCCATAGGCCATGTGTGGCCCGGGACAGCTTTGAAAGTGGTGCCAACACAAATTTATAAGCTTTCTTAGAACATTATCAGAATTTTTTTGGCAATTTTTTTTTAGCTCATCAGCTACTGTTAGCGTTAGTGCATTTTATTTAAAACGCACGTGTCCTTGTGGAAAACATGTAATCTTTCTGAGCCTAAATCCCTCCATTTGTGGCCTAGGACAATTCTTTTTTCCAGCGTGGCTTTTTTTTTTTTTCTTTTGGCTTAGGGAAGCCAAAAGATTGGACTCCCTTGCCAGCATCTAGCATTGTCCCATATACCCAATTAAATATTGGCTGTATTATCAGATTAATGAATAAGGAAGAACCATCAGCTATGAAATCTTAACATTTCCTTGTAAAAACATATATTTTTTCAATAAACTGAATATCAGGATAAATATGAAAAGGCAATCTCCAGCCCAAGACTGCTCCGGATTAAAGTCTTAGTCCCTCACATGCTAGCTGTGTGGCCTTTAATAAGTTACTTAATCCTCCTCAGCTTCAGCTTACTTTTTTGTAAACATAAATTATAATGTCTACTTCTAGCACCGTTATGAGTCTAAGAATGCCTAAATATAATTCCCATTCCAGCCAATTTCATATACATTCAAATAATTAAAATTACTTGAGGGAAATTATTTAAGATACATTAAAACATTATATAAAATTATAATAAACACTAATGGTCTTACTTCCATTACAGAATAATAAAATACAAAATTGGAAAAGTTACCACTGGAAATATCTGCAGACTATTATTAAAAATACATCACCAGGATATATTACTTTTTGGAGGATTTGAACATGGTAAGAATTATTAAAGAGAATGAATCAAAGGAAATGAAATTAGCACATTCTCCCTGGCAAATGGTAGTTAGCAATATATTTTAAAAGAGTAAAGTGTTTTAATGTAGTAAAACCACATATATACTGTTATATTGTCTCAGCAATATAAAGTATCATTAAATCAATTTTTTTAATTTTTATTTTTCACTGAAAGCATAGTAAAGTAGGAACAAATTCTTAAAACAAGAATACATGAAAAGGTCTAGACTTTGCATTTTTGAGAAATTTTGGGAAGTTAAAAGAAGAGTAATTTAAAAATGTATGTATCACTTAAGAAGAAACATTATGAGCAAATAATTTTATCGCTTTCTAGCTCCTAAACTTTTAATAGTGGATAAACATATTGCTTTGAAGTAGCTTTCTGACCACTTGTACTAGAAAGATATGAAATACTTACAAAATGCTAAATAGTTATAAAAAGAACAGAAGATCAACACCATTAATAACATAGGAGCATTTAAATTACTTACACCTCTATCTTTTTAGCTTTCCTAAGTCATAGGATCATTATTACTCACACATTTTTTTCTCAACTGAAGAAACAGAGATAACAGGAAAAATCCAATACAATAAAAGCAAATGAAAGATAAATAAGAGTTAGCTTAGAGCAATGACTTGCACCTCCTATAAACTCATTAACCTGGATTTAGTACCAGTGACTTTATACCGTCATCTGAATCTTTGTATTTTCTAAACATACCTTAACTTCTTTACTAACACCTCTTATAAGGTTGGAATGAGACTTGATGATCAACAAAGAAGCATAAGAGATCCATCCCACAAAACCAATAGCAATATTGATGCCCAAAAAGAATCTGTCATATGTGTGATAATAGGACAATCCTTTCAACGCAAGATGAATTAGCTCCTTGCAAAGGGAGACCTATGGAAATAAAACATATATAACTCACTAACAGAAAGAATAAGAAAACCTGAATTTTAAAGAAAGGAAAATTTTAAATTCCTACAGCAAAACCATTGTATTAAAATTAGTGAGCAACTATAGATAATGGATTAAGAACAGATTTTGTTTGACGATATTCTTTGAAAGTATAAGAAAGATTTGGAATAAAATAAATCTTTTAATCTAAATAAGAAAGAACATTTTAAACGTAAACTATATGTGTTTGTGGAAATGATCTTCAGATAACTCATGAAAGAAATGAAGGCTCTCTAATATAGGTCCCAAACGATGATAATGGCCATATTTATATTTTTTACTTTCTCATACGAGATTACCTATAAAACATCATTAAGTAGCTTAATATTTTACAGGAGAAAAATAGCTTAGCATTTTAAAACCATTGGGAAAAAAAAGCATTAGAAATGCACGGACTGGCAATTATTTAGGCAACTTTAGAAATGAAAACATAATTCTTTTCTACTTTAAAATTAAATAACCATTTAACAAAGAAAAATTAATGAAAAATATAGTGGGAAAGGAGTTTGGAAGAGTCAAAGCTTCAACATGAATCATTAGACTTTTAATAATGTATAGATAATTCTAAGTGGCAAGCATATAGTGTTCTAAAATACTACACATAAGTAGGGTGAGAGAAACTTGGCATATATTTCTCAATTTAAAAAATGGTAGTAGATCATTTCTAATACTAAACTAAAAAAAAATTGGGCTGGGCACAGTGGCTCACACCTGTAATCCCAGTACTTTGGGAGGCCAAGGCAAGTGGATCACCTGAGGTCAGGAGTTCGAGATAAGCCTGGCCAATATGGAAAAACCTACTAAAAACCTCTGCTAAAAATACGAAAATTAGCCAGGTGTCACAGTGCATGCCTGTAATCCCAGCTACTTGGGAGGCTGAGGCAGGAGAATCACTTAAACCCCAGAGGTGGAGGCTGCAGTGAGCCTAGATTGTACCACTATACTCAGTCCGGGCAACAGAGTGAGATTCCATTAAAAAAATAGTAAGAATAAATAAATAAATAAAAATTTACCCATAACATTAGCTAAAATAAGAGAGATATGTCCATTGCTAAAACAGCTACTCAGGTAATGCAATTCTTCCTTGAGGGCTCAAGAAAGCTCCCTGGCCTGCTTGCTCTGACCTCCATTGCCATACTTTTCTCCTCCCCATCCCCACAATGATAATCAGCTACTGATGTCTATAAGGCTAGTATACTTACTGCTTCGTCAAACTTTCTGTCTTTTATATAAGATCTTGCTTTTCTTAAAATGTCAAACTGTTTGGAATCAGAAAGTGACCTACAAAAAAAAGAATAGGTTTAAAGGGTTTCCTCATTCCACCTGTATATTTCTCTTTTGTTCCTTAATTTCCAAAAAAAAAAAGGACTGTGAAAATTGCAGAACAATAAACAAAACAAAAATCAAAGAAAAAAATCTGAATTGTATTGCTGTTGGTTCTCTGAAGTCTTCCAAGAAATAGCTTATGGATAAATTTGGTTTTCTTGACTCAGAGTTTCAAATGCCAAACTACATTTATGAAAATCATATAACCCATCATTCTGAAGAAATGTAATACTCCGGCTAACAAAGAAATTCTGATTAAATCAAAGTAATTAATAGAACACCAAACGTATGGCATAAGTTCCACCACTCAGTTGTCCTGTGCTCATGGCAGACTTCAAATAATTGAGTACAGATCCGTCAATGTACTTTTAATCCCTGAGCCAAAGAGGGCCTGAGAATTCTCATTATCAAAGAGCTCCAGGCAGAGCCTAACCAACAATGGAAGTTAGTGAATAATTTGAACCTATTTGCCATTTTTATGCTATACTATATACCTTCTTGGTTCCTCTTTCATTTCTCTTTCCACCATTTTCCTGTCCTATTTTACCAAAGTAGAAACTTTAAATGAACAAGAGAAATACTCCTTTAAAAAAACTGCATAACCTGAAACTATATAAAGGCATTAAGTTTATGGAATGTAGAAATTGAGGAAATATAACCCAAATTTAATTACCTTAATGAAATATATTAATACATTCACATTCAAATTTGAATTTATGCTCCTCGACCAAAACCTACATACCTAAAGTGAATGTCTTTACATTTTAAAAATGCATAAAAAGTTATTTAAGGCTATATTAGATTGGATCACATGAAATTGATGCTTTCCTATGTCAAAAATTACTAAATTAAATATTGGCAATTGCACATGGGTCGACATAATATAATCACTTACCTTCTTTCTACTTGGCTCCAGCAGTCTCTGAAGAGACAGGAGTGAGACTTGTACAAAGTAAATCTTTTAAACAGTAATTATTAATTTGGGAGCAGGGAAAGTCAGAGAGACTTCTTTCAGAATCTGAAACTCTTGTCTAGAAAATGCACATAATCCAAAATCTAAAATATAATTTCAGAAATAGAGTTCTATGGGATACTCTGATTAAGCATCTGTGCTTTGGCTTGGAATAGTGGCTCACACTTGTAGTACCAACACTTTAGGGGACCGAGGTAGGAGGATCACTGAAGGCCAGGAGTTCAAGACCAGCCTGGGCAACAAAGCAAGACCTCGATTTTACAAAAAATAAAAAAACAGTCTGTGCCTACTCTGATTGCTCACAGATATTCCAACTCAGGGCAACCCAGTCACTGGGTTCTCATGTTACAGACTGCAGGAAAATTCCCCACCACTGGACTCACGGGGATATGGAGGGAAAAGGTTCCAGGAGGCAAAAAGACACGAAAGAAAAACAAGTTACTTAAAATGTTGCTTTGATCCGATGTTCTGTCCCTACAGGCACCAGACATTTTGAAGTGTCTTCCCAGAAGCCTTAGCAAAGGAATTGCTGTGCTAAAGGGCACAGGCATTTTTTGGAAGGCTGTATCAAAGTTGAATTTCCCAAATTTCCATATAAACTTTCTAGTTGACCTCCTTGCTCCTGTTCTGACCCACTCAGCTTCCCAAAATAGTGATTGTATCCTCTCACTTACAATTGATATGGGCATCTCATTGTCTGCTTCATCAATTCTAATCTTCTTGGACTAGTTATGACCCTCATGCTATTTCACTTAATTTCCCATTATCACAAATGTGTACCCTCAGCTGCATTATAGTGAAACTCTTCAAGCTTCACCTATCTGGTATCATAAAGATCTTCCCCTCTTTGGTTTCTATGAAAATCAAATATTCATCATCCTTTAAGGTCCACTCCAAATCTCACCTCACATCATTAGCACTTTAGTTAGTGGTCTAATGATCAGTTTATTTCTCTTCAATTAAATTTTAACCTCCATGTGGGCCAAGATAATGTCTTATATTCCATTAACATCCATAATAATACTTAGCTAAGTGCTAAAGCACATAAAAATGAATCAATAAATCTTGATTACAATGCTATCAAAATACTGCAGACCTAAAAAATGGAAGAAAAATAAGAGAATAACATACATTGCCATTTGTAATGTACCTAAAATTTAAATAAAAAGAAGGAAAAAATGTTTGAAGTTAAATTACTTAAGCTAATTTAACAGACATTCTGTTAAGTGAAGTCTTATGAAGAATAAGATAAGAAAACATTCTTAAAAAGAAATATTGACACTATAAATTATGCTATGTTATATTGGAAGTACTAAGGTAAAGAAACAGGAGTGAGGGTTATTTATAATTTTTCCTAAATGCACTATTTATAAACCTTGGGACACACCAAAGGTAAACATATTAAAGATTTGCAATACATCTGGAATTCACCAAAATGTTCTGTAAAAGCCTCACTATACCACCATGACATCAAAGACACTCATATACTTGTCCCCCAATGTAATTTGTAGTTTTAGCTTTCTACCAAACTGAGAGGGGATATAAAGTATATTTTCTTGGTATCACATACTTTAAACATAAGGTGATTTTGTAAGAAATATAAAGTCTAGAATACAGAGTACAATATGTTCAGATTTATGTAAACAAAAAGAAACCCAAATAAAAACAAAATCAAGGGGGTTGGCACAGGATTAACTAAAGAAATGCCATATAGAAATTAAAATGAACAAGGATCAGCATGTATAAATATGGATAAATCCTGAAAACCAAACTGAATAGAAAAAAGAATTGTTTTAAAAGACAGATTTTTAAAATAGGAATTCAAGTGTATTATGCCATTCTATTCCCTACCTCCACAAAAAGAGAATCTAAAGAAACATGGCAAAATGTTGGCTGGGCGTGGTGGCTCATGCGTGTAATCCCAGCACTTGGGAGGCCAAGGTAGGCAATTACCAGAAGTCAGGCATTCGAAACTAGCTTGACCAACATGGAGAAACCCATCTCTACTAAAAGCACAAAATTAGCCTGGCGTGGTGATGCATGCCTATAATTCCAGCTACTCAGGAAGCTGAAGCAAGAGAATAGCTTGAAGCCAGGAGGTGGAGGTTGCAGTGAGCCGAGATCGTGCCCCTGCACTCCAGACTGGGCAACAGTGAAACTCCAACTCAAAAAAAAAAAAAAAAATTTAAGATATAAGGTAAAATGTTAACATTTCCTTAAACCTGAGTGGTGGGTACAATAATTTTTATTATATTCCTTTTTCTTTTCATCATGTTTAAAATATCTTATAAATAAAACTTAAAATATGTTAACAAGGATATACATATATAATATATATATATGTATACATGATATATATGGACAGATGCATAATAAACTGCAACTTTGCCTCCAAAGAAGAAGACTGTAAGATTGGAACACAGGAGGAAAAGTGACTTTTTATTATTGTTTATATAAATAATATTGAGTGCATGCATTACTTGTTCATTAACATTTTTAAATAAAATGATTAAAACACTAAGATTTAACCATAGCTTTTGGTTATGCCAGGGAAGATTTGGGCATACCAATGCTCCCACCAAGAACAACTAGAAAGCCTAATACAATACATTTAAAGGTACAAACCCATCAAGTAACGAAAGGCTAAGATCCTAGAGAGAAGGAAACCACAGGGAAGTAATCCAAGTCTACGAACTTCAACTGAGGGAATCTACCATTCTTATTCTTGGCACAAAGCAAAAAGGCTGTGAATTTGGGGATATAGCTACTGCCAGGAAATAGGGAATCCAAGAGCCTTTGGCAATCTTGTATGACTGGAGAGATAAAAACTAAAGCTTTTAGCTGCCAATGCAGCCAGAACTTGAGAACCTAAAAAGAAAGAAAAATAAGAAAGTAATATACATTTTCACTGTGGTTTTTTTTTTTTTAAAAAAGAAATGTTAAAAGTGCATCTGGAATTTAAAACTAATTTAACATGTATTCTGAGGTGAAATCTTAAGAAAAATGAGAAAAAGCGCTTGCATAAGAAACAAATATTATATTATACTATATTATTTGGAGAATTCAGGTAAAGAAACAAGGGCCAAGTCTTGGTGAGAAAAAAGGTAAGCCTGATACTCATTTGTGCAGAACAAGAGGACAAGCAGCTAAGAAGAATGCCCCTGAAAAGCAAACAGAAGTTTTGGTAGCTTCGAGATGTACAAGAGATAAATATTGGCATTCAGTAACCATCAGAGAAGAAAGGTTCCAGATAACACAAGGTCTGTATTGGGACCCCCGAGATGCTATACTCTAAAAACAAAGATCAAAGGAGGTTTAAAATTGTAGCACAGCCTTGAGTCAGCCACTACTCTCTGTGGCCATCAGAAGATAAGGTAAAATCTCTATGATGAAAAATGAGAGCTTCTAAAGCTTTTAATATATAAAGATAAGCATTCATTTAAAAACTATCATACTTAAGAAACAAGACCAACTAACAAAAAAAGAATGGAAACAAACTCACAAATGATTTGGTTATTGGTATTATCGGGTACAGATGCTAAATAATTATAGTTAATATGTCAAGAAGAAAATTGTATCAAATAACAGAATCTATTTTTTTAAATAATCAAAATGGAAGTTCTAAAGTTTAAAAACATGTAACAACTGAAATTAAGAACTCAATAACAGCAATCTAGACATAGCAAAAGAGAAATCTGGTGTAGTTGATGACAGAATCAGTAGAAAATATCTTGCCTGGGCCGAACATGGCAGCTCATGTCTGTAATCCCAGCAATTTGGAAGGTCAAGGTGAGTGGATCACTTGAAGTCAGGAGTTCGAGACCAGTCTAGCCAACATGGTAAAACCCAGTCTCTATCAAAAGTACAAAAATGAGCTGGGTGTGGTGGTGCATACCTGTAATCTCAGCTACTCAGGAGGCTGAGGCAGGAGAATCAATTGAATCTGAGAGGAAGGGGGTGCAGTGAGCTGAGATTATGCCAT